TGTGATAAATTAGTTAAGGAAAAAAACAGATCAGTATTAGCAGGATGGGTTGTGCCTGGTTGAGGAAGTGACACTTTCAAATAGGACAGCTCTAGTAGGCCTCAGTGAGAAGGCAACATTGAGTAAATGCTAAGAGGAGGCAAGGAAGGAGCCGCGGTCTGTACTGTTTGGGAGAAGAGCTTCCAGCTCAGGAAAGCCAGTGCGGGGCGCTGGGTGGGAGGGAGCCTGGTGCAGTCTAGGAACAGAGAGGAGGCCAGGACACTGGACCGGGGTTTAGAGGGAAGGGGGCCAGGAGATGAGGCCAGAAAAGTCATAGGCAGTATGGCTGTTGTGCCCAGCCTGTTGGCTTCTTCTGTCGAAGGCATGGCCTTAACCGTGATGGGCAGCCAGCCAGCAGAGCAGGTATGGGTGTGAAGGTCAGGAGTTGTATCTTGGAGAAATTAAGGATGAGATGTCGGATTGGCAGCTGGATAGAGGTGTTAACTGCATAGTGAGAGTGCTTAGGTGCATGAGTTTCTCCAGAAAGACTGCTGGTTGTCAAGTATGTACATTATCACCTGCACAAGAAGATAATTTGTTTTGTTATGACAATCACAGGTGGTTTGCGGTTTACCTTGATTACCTTCATGTTATTACACACAAGAAAATATATATATTTGGTTTTTTAAAAACAGACCATGTATGTATCTCATTGAAATAATTGCAGAATTACGTGCAATTGAATGAAATAATGAGAAATAGATCTTGTGTACACTTTGCCCATTTTCTCCCAGTGGTAACATTTTGCAAAACTATAATATAATACCACATTGACATTGACACAATCCACCTATCTTATTCAGATTTCCCCACTTTTATTTTACTAATTTGTGTGGAGATGGGTATTTAGTTCTATACAATATATTCCCTGTCTAGGTTTGTGTATTCACCATGACAGTCAAGACACTGAACAGTTCCAACAGCTTCTATAACCACACCTATCACCTTTCCATACCCCTCTACCTTATAGATATATGTTTGGTTTGTTTTTTATTCACTTTTTTAAAAATATATATTTTATTGATTTTGTACAGAGAGGAAGGGAGAGAGATAGTTAGAAACATCGATGAGAGAGAGTCATCGATCAGCTGCCTCTTGCACACCCCCTACTGGGGATATGCCCGCAACCAAGGTACATGCCCTTGACCGGAATCGAACCCGGGACCCTTCAGTCCCCAAGCCGACGCTCTATCCATTGAGCCAAACCGGTCTCGGCTGATTCACATTTTTTAAGTTGTAAAATACATATAACATTTATCATCTTAATCTTTTGAGTGTAAAATTCAGTAATGTTATGTATAGTCACATTGTTGTGTAAAATATCTACAGAACTTTCTCATCTTCCACAACGAAAGTATATGCCTGGTAAGCGATAACTCTCCATATTCTCTTTCCCCAGCTCCTAGTAACCACTATTCTTTTTTTTTTTTTTAATTTTTTACCCCCTTTCTTCCGCCCTCCCCTTTCCACTATTCTTCTTTCTGTCTCTATGAATTTAACTACTCTATATAAGTGAATTTATACAGTATTTGTAATTTTGTAGCTGGCTTATGTCAATTCGCATAATGTCTTTAAGGTTTATCCAGTTCTGGTATATCTGAATTTCCCTTTTTAAGACTGAATAATATTCCATTTTATGGATATACTACAACTTGCTTATCCATTTATCCATCAAAGGACACTGATTGCTTTCCCTCTTGATTATTGTGAATAATGCTGCTGTGGCCCTAACCGGTTTGTCTCAGTGAATAAAGCATCGGCCTGTGGACTGAAAGGTCCCAGGTTTGATTCCGGTCAAGGGCATGTACCTTGGTTGCAGGCACATTCCCAGCAGGAGGTGTGCAGGAGGCAGTTGGTGGATGTTTCTCTCTTATCGATGTTTCTAACTCTCTATCCCTTTCTCTTCCTCTCTGTAAAAAGTCAACAAAATATATATTTTTAAAATATGTTAAAAATAATAATGATAATAATAATAATGCTGTTATGAACATGGGTATACAAATATGTCTTCAAGGCTCTGCTTTTAATTCTTTTGAATATATACCCAGAAGTGGAATTGCTGAATTCTAGGTAATTCTATTTTTAATTTTTTGAGGAACCACCACACTGTTTTCCATAGTGGCTGCACCATTTTACATTTCTACTAGCAATGGATAAGTGTTCGTTTTCTCTATATCCCACCAGTACTGTTATTTTCCTTTTTCTTCTTTTGATAGTATCCATCCTCATAAATGTGAAATGATTATCTCATTCTGGTTTTCCTTGCATTTCCTTGATAGTTTAATGATATGAGATTTTTTCATATGCTTGTTGACCATTTTGTATGTCTTCTTTGGAGAAATGTCTATTGAAGTACTTTGCTCATTTTTTAATGAAGTTTTTTCCTATTTTTGCCGTTGAATTTTAGGAGTTCTCTCTATGTTCTGGACATTAGTCCCCTATAGAGGCAGCAAACCGCAGTATTTAATGCCTTGGGCTTTGGAGCCAGATACCTAGACTCTTCCAGGCAGCTGTATGGTTTGGGGCAGTGGTCGGCAAACTCATTAGCCAACAGCGGCAAACCGTGCCTCGCGAGGGACAGTTTGCTGACCACTAGTTTGGGGCAACTTTTTTTAACCTCTCTGTATGCCTCAGTTTCCCTCTCATGGCGAAATGAGGGTGTCAGAAGTATTTACCTCAGAGGTAAATACTTCAACTGCCTCCTGCACACCTCAGAGGGGCAGGTGAGGTTTATAGAATGGCCTGGCCTGCCTGCAGGTTTTTTTGTTTTGTTTATTTTTTAAATATATATTTTATTGATTTTTTTACAGAGAGGAAGAGAGAGGGATAGAGAGTTAGAAACATCGATGAGAGAGAATCATCGATCAGCTGCCTCTTGCACACCCCCTACTGGGGATGTGCCTGCAACCAAGGTACATGCCCTTGACCGGAATCGAACCTGGGACCTTTCAGTCCGCGGTCCGATGCTCTATCCATTGAGCTAAACCGGTTTCGGCCTGCCTGCGGGTTTTGAGGTACTCAGAGCATGTCATGAGCAGGAGAGGTGAGGGTCTGGTCTTGGAAAGGCAGAGCTCCATAGAACACCCCGCAGCATGGCGCTGGCTCTCCTAGAAGGAGTGGCTGGCTGGCACCTCAGATGCCCCAGGAGGCTCCAAGAGGAGATGGCAGCACTGATGAGGTCTAGGCTCCCGCTGCTGTTCTCATTATACTTAGAGATATCTGCTCTTTTGAAGTTCCCAAGGCTCCTATGGTGCTAATTGGTCACTGTCTCTGGTGTCTGGCCACACTCCAAGCCTCAGTCTGAGCACCAGCCATGGTCTCAGCATTTCTTACAGCCTTTGGAGCAGTGGCATCTGCACCACTCAAGGCTGGGCCCACAGCCCCACTTGTCCTGTCTTGTTTCTTGAGGCTCGCCTGCGAGGCATATCTCACAGCCAGATAGGCAAGAAACCCACCTTTTCGCAACTGCTTCCCTCCCAGGCCCTCAGTCTACGGGAAAAGCTGGCACATCCTCAGCAGCAGCGTGTGGGACTCTGGCTTATCGCACATGGCAGCCACCAAGCCCAGGAAGGGTGTGGGTGTGTCAGCATGGGCCTGAGTGCACCTGCATGGAAGGACCAGTTGGAGCACTTTCAGTCCTTACCTGTGTTCTCAGCACCTGCCCTTTTAGCCCACCCTGTATGATATTATAGTTTCTGGAGTCCTTTCTTGAAGATGAAGGTGAAGGTGGGAGTGATCAGGTCTGCCCTGTCCAGGCTATTGGAGAATAATAACTTGCAGGCTTCCTCTTCAGGTCTCTGAGTGCACTCCACTGCTGGGGCTGGCTCCTTCAGAGATTATGCAGTACCAAGCTGTGTCAGGGCTTGTCTTGTGAGCTCTTGGAATGAAAGCTCAGAGCAGACTAGGGCTGGAATGTCATGTGTTTGGGACCGCTTTGAGCATCCTCCAATGCTCCCGGAGTGCATTTCCCCGGCCTGTGGCAGCTCCTGCATGACTGGACTGTGAGACCTGGCTCAGAAGTGAGGGAAGCGGGTGCCACCGGGGCCATTGCTGGCTTTGCTTTTTGATTTCCACACATGGATGTGAGCCCTGACAAGACTTGCAGCTCCTAAGCAGCCACTGCCCACACTTGCTACCTTGTAATTCTAGAGCCGGTAACTCTTGTCCTAGTGCGCATACCACCTTTCCCTGGGTGACAGCAGCAGCGCGTGCTTGACTAAGAGACTCTTTGGCAACAGCAGTTGCTCGTGCCCAGTCTATTGTCATGCCATCTAAGTTTGTCACTGAACACATATAACTGAGCTACCACTCACCAGTGAACATCTGTCTGGACATCGGGTACTGTGGAAGGAGGATCAGCAAAAGGAGATGCCGAGAAGGCCGACTCTCCGTGGACATTGATGCAGCACAAATGTATGGGGGCGGAGCTTTCTGGAAGCAGAAGCATGATGAGGGAAGCAGTGTGTTGCAGACAACCACTGGCCCTTCCCAGCTCTCAGTCAGCAGAAAAGCCAGGGCATGATGCATCCTGTGTCCAGGCTGATCCATGGGACGGGGAGATGCTGGATGTACTAGTGTATACCATAGCCACTATGACTCCGAGCCGTCGTCATGAATAGCCTTTGCAAACGTGCATCCCTGGAAGGTGTCAAGCTCTGATCCAGCAGACCCCTGTGTAAATGCCAGGTGACCTCCGGGCTCAGTCATTCTAGGGACAGATTGCTTTTCCCACTTTTATACTTTCATCTAGTTAATGTCAGTTGGAAAGTTTATACTTTAAAACTTAGATCACTCCGCCCTCACTCTCAGGTAAGTGTACATTGATAATTTATTATTTTTCCTATGATCAGTGATTAGGGATGTTGTTTGAATAACCAATATTTTAAAAGTTTGAGTCTGTTGCTATTCTTCAATGAATAGAAACCAAATCCATATTGTGTGTGTTTTTTCTTTGTTCCCAGGCAAGCCAATATTTTCAGTTGATATTCACCCTGACGGGACCAAGTTCGCAACTGGAGGACAAGGTATGTTCATGGAATAACAGGAATGCTCACAGTTCTGTGCCCAGCTCTGCTTCTCCTGGCCACCCATTGAGCTATAAGGAAGAATATTTGCTGTTTTCAGTATAGATGTAACTCAGTTTAAGTCTGAACAAGTCACAACAAAATCCCTTTTTTGCACTAGAGTGTGCTCTATACAGATATTTCTATAACAGGTCTATCTTTCTAATTTCTATTTATTGTGTTGATATTGAAATCAATTTGCATATCTGAGCCCAAGCTTACTGAGCATGAAAAGTGGCAGGTAGTCTCATGGACAAAGCGCCAGCCCCAGAGGCAAGGGCCCTTGGTCCTCATCTTGGTTCTGGCATTGTTTTCTCACCTGTAAAGGGGGAGGAGATGGTTAACCTCTGTAGTCAGTCATGTAGTTGTCAGGCCCAATCTCCACGCTCAAAGCAATTCACCTGCGATAGAGGGCAAACACAGATGTGCAGCACATCATTTGAAAAGATGACCCATGGTATTGTCAGTGTGTTTCACCCAGTGTCTGCTGCAATATTGCAGTAACAACTCTGGAAAGGCAAAGTCACTTTTGAGGCCAAGACACCAAGATGTATATGTGGTCACACAAAGTAGCATTCCCGCAGAGCCCAGTCCCCCAGCAGCTTCACTCCAGAGCAGGGTCTCCCTCTGGCTGAGGCCTCCCTGGACAGGACTGGAGAGTGCCCCTGTGAGTGCCAGGTCCGCAGGTGCTGCAGAGCAGGTTGTCTGAAGACTTCCTGCTGCAGGGCTCACAGGGAAGCCTGATCTCCTTCCAACATGCTGCCGGCTGCACCCGAGGTGCCCACAGGCGTCACCTAGGACCGGTGGACTTAGCTGGGGTAACAGATTTCTTCTCATCCATGAGAAGAGACACACCTTCCTGACCTGATTGGCATAGTACACTCCAGAAGAGCTGGTTGAAAAATATGTTTACCCCCTAGCTGGTTTGGCTCGGTGGATAGAGCATCGGCCCCTCTATAACAGAAAGTTAAAGGATGGCTGGACTTTTGTTAGCTATCAGTAATGGAAATCTTAGAAAGAGAAATCATTACTGAAATACATAGATATATTTTTTAGCCCAATAATACATCAGCCTATGACCACAGGCCCCCGAAATGCCTTCTTTTGGTTGGTCTCTCATCTGTAGATGGCAAAGAGCCGGTGAGATAACGAGGACCTTTTCCAGTGTTTAAGGCACATTTCAGACTGGGTCTTTGTGAGAATAGCCATGGACTGCAGACAACACCTGAAAAGGGAGAGAAGCCCATGCAGAGACCTGGAAGGGTGTTGGGGCCTAGGCTTTTCCAGCCTCTTCATTTACAGATGGGGCCGGCGACCTGGAAGCAGTAGGGTTTGGGGGAAGGGTGTGTAAAAGACAATTTATGAAATGTCTCAGATGGCCCCTGTGTCACTTGAAGGCCCTCTACTAGGACCTTTTTGGTTCGGGGCAGGAATGAGGACCTTCTAGGGGCCTCTGGTGGACCCGAGTTAGAGGCCGGAGCAGAACTGGGTCCTCATTGGATTCTGGTCTAGAATTCTTTTCATACAGTCAGGGCGGCCTCAGCACAGCACCATATCCACACTGTTTGAGTTCCCAGAACACCTGTTCTTCTTCTTTGCAGTAACTTATGTTAGTAATTCAAATTCAGTCTCCCCCGATCTACTTAGCTGTGATTTACGGAAGCCAAGTGAGGGTTGTGTCTCATAGTTTATAGTCTGTTCCTTGTGCATTAAGTTATTTCTGCCCCTTCATTCCAGGACAGGATTCTGGGAAGGTTGTGATCTGGAATATGTCTCCAGTCCTCCAGGAGGATGACGAGAAGGATGAAAATATTCCCAAGATGCTTTGCCAGATGGACAATCATTTAGGTATTACAGAGTGGCCCTTTGCAGGCTTTTCGTGTTGGCAGAGTGCCCAAGGTTAGCACATGTGTTTGTAATTAGAAAGATAAGGCCCCGTGCGGCGGTAACTCCCCTCGGCCTGCTGTCTGAAGGCACAGATGTTGGCTGCACACCTGGGTGAGTTATTCGGCAGAAGACTCGGCCCGCCCACAGAACCATCTTTGGACAGTCTGCAGGTACCTCTGGTGATTTCCTGCTCATGAGTCGTTACTGCCTGATTCCATGGGGCTTTGGGGCCAGCAACCTGGAAGCAGTAGGGTTCTGGGAAGGGTGTGTAAGAGACAACTTACAAAACGTCTCAGATTGCCACTGTGTCACTCAGAGACCCGCCACCAGGACCCTTTTGGTTGCTGGACAGTATGTGGTTTTCTTTCCTGCATTAGTGCCTCAGTTTCCTGCCCCTGAGCATCAGGGTGACTGTACTTGGCTCTGGGTTCCTACCTGGCTGCTTCCCCTGAAATGCTCCTTTAACGGTTACATTCCCCTGCCTTTGCTCTGTATGTTCATGTTCTCCCAACATGTCTCTTGGCGTCCTCCAACTTGGAGCGCAAGTCACTCATAAGCCTTGTGTGGGCCACGGCTTGGTTACTGTCCCTCGTATTGCTGGGCTCCCAAAGGCCGAGCCGTGAGTGCTCCCAGAGGCTGCAGCATGACAGGATCCAAGAGGGATTCCTGCTGGTCTCAGTGTATGAGTGCAGGATCAATGGACCTGCAGTACTGAGGAGTCTGGGAAATCCGAATTTAATTGCTGACAGGTGGAATGAAGTCAGAGTTTTATGTCTTACCCAAGCTGCTCTCTGAAAGCTCTGGAGAAGGCATCTTGGCCTCTTTAGCACATATGTCTTCCTGTCAAGAGTAATCCCTCTTCAGAAATACATCTCATCATTAGCCAGCCCTTTTTAAATAATGAGATGTAGGTATTTGCCAGTTTTCATGGCAGTGAGCCTCCTCCTACTGACTACTTCATCCAGCACTAACACTTCTCAGGTTATGTAGCCTTTCACCCTCCAGGCTCTATTCTGGCCATTTGTTATGATAGCACAAGTAGATTAGTGCTTGAACTGAAATGTTTTTCTAGGGCTCTCACATAGTAGATGCCTTGAATAAATTAGATAGATTAGACTTTATAAACCCTTTGCATCTTGCCAAACTCTGCCTAAACAAATGCCTATTGGATTTTCATCACCCTATTTTTTTTTCTTCCCAGCATGTGTGAACTGTGTGCGGTGGTCAAACAGTGGGATGTATTTAGCTTCTGGGGGAGATGACAAACTGATTATGGTGTGGAAGCGGGCTACGTAAGCATCATTTTCCTTTCTTCACATTTTATTTTTAGAAGTTTCTTTGCTGGTCTTTATCACAGTCACTTTCTTTACCCTGGCACTGAAGTCCCCAGAGTCCCAACTTCTTAAGAAACAGGAAGCACACGTAGGCCGGGAGCAGGGGGCCGGGAGAAGGCCATCAGCCTCCCTATTGACCTGCTCAACTGTTCCTTGCCAGGCAATAAGGTTTCCACCTAAAAAGAAAGGGTGAATCCCTTCCAATGCTGATGTTGTGGCTTCCTTTGTTTTGTTCTTAAAATGAGATTTCCCAACATGCAATGTGGTGAAAAGTCAAGGTGCTCTGATGGAATCTGGGGAGGGGTCCAGAGCCTGCCCTCTTAGCCATTCACCTCATTTTCTGTCTGCCTCAACCCTGACCTCTAAGGAGTCCTCACTTGAAAGCCCTTTCTCTGCACCAATAGTGAGCTAACCATCACCTAGAAAACTCTTCTTTACACCTAGGCAGCTCCTCAGGGTGGGTCCTGGGGCTCTTCCATAACCAGATCCCCAGGTAACTTGGGCCAGTCAAGCTGGGGACTCAGACCTACCCCACTGCTCAGCCAGAGTGGCCCTATGGCCTTGGCTTTGAGAGCAGAGGCACACTGTCCCACCCAGCTGCCCCAGCAAGGTCTTTCTGTGAGTTTGTGAAGAATTCTACAGGAGTGAAGGCTGTCAACAGAGGCATGTCAGTGGTGTAGGCACCACCTCCATGGGAGCCCATGTGACTGCTTGAGTGCCAGGAGCTAGTACCCATGATTCAAGTGCTTTCTCTGCCTCAGCTGTTAAGGCCGAGATCTCCGATTCTTTGTAAGAGGGCTTAAAAACTACTGTTGATTCTGCTTGCTGCTTTAGCCAACATAAATAATATTAAGTATATAATTTGGAAAACTGGGAAAATATAAAAGAAAAATATGATAATCCCACCACCTAAAGAAAGCTATGGTTAATATTTTGGTGTCATTTACGTGTGTCCTGATCCATTTTCCATGCGTACATGTAATTTTTTTGTTACATAGTGACATATTGTATATGCTGTCCTGTGGCCTCCTTCTTTCGCTTAGTTATATATTGTGAACATTTTCCCAGGCAGAGGCTAGTCTTTCACCACACGCTTTGTGATAACTGTGTAGTATTTCATCAAGTGCAAATAATTTACCCCTCAGCTCCTGCTGATCAGCAATTCAGTGCTTCCAGCCATTGTCTGTTTTTGCTTTGTTCTGTCTGCCATGATAAGCCATGCTGCAGTGAGCATCTCTGTGCAGTGCCAGAGCCTCCCTGGAGTGCCGTTCTGATTCCTCTCTCACACAGGTACATCGGCCCCAGCACTGTCTTCGGCTCCAGTGGTAAGCTTGCCAACGTGGAGCAGTGGCGATGTGTCTCCATCCTCCGGAGTCACTCAGGCGGTGAGTGGGGCTGCCTGTTGGGTTGGGCGGCCCCAGCAGCTGTCTGAGACCAGCAACAGTACCTTCAGCAGCTCTGTGTCTGGGTCACCCTTCCCCATCACCATCGGTCATACCCTGCCTGTCCCTCAAGGTCTGTGCAGTCATCGTCCCCACTGCCTGCCTCCAGCTGCATTCAGTGCCCCCACTCCTGCCCTCATGGGGTATATGTTTATATTTTTAATGTAGAACTCCCCACGTTCTGCTGTTTATCCTGGTGAACTGAGTCACTACCTTCATCAGTGGATCACTAAGTCCGTAAGCGCACTTTATTTATTCCACAGAAACTAGAATACAGGGGCCCAATGAAGTTTTTTATTTGACCCTGAGTATGTTTGCAAAGTGTTGTAAATAGACTTAGACACATTTTGCCAATTTGGACTGAAAAGGAGGAATGTCAGTCCATCAGTAGCTGTCTAAAACCATGTGATGTGCACTTTGTTAGGCAGGAGGGATGCCAGAGCAAATATCACTTAGTCTTACCTCAGAAAGCCTGTGGTCTCACCCTGGACTATCCTGGAGGGTTTCCCAGGCAGGGAGGACAGCAAAAGTGAGAGGTTTGCAGTGAATGAGTAGGCAGCATTTCACCACTGTTGGGTCTTTATATACAAGGCAGGAAACAGCACAGAGCGGGGCTAGCTGAGTGCACAGGGACCAGGTCATGGAAGGCTCATGCTCCCTTTTAATGAGTGTGTCCTTTCTTGTGGAAGAGGCAGGGGGTCATTAAAAGCTTTGAAGCCAAGAGGGAAATCCTTCTGACAGCTGTGGGGTAAAGAAGATTGTGTCAGTGGTTCAATGAAAACTAAGGGCCTGACATAGACCTATGATAAAATGGAATAGAGAGGAAGAGACTATTTGGGAAATTGTTAGGCTAGAGCAAGGGGAGCATTGAAGGAAAGTCCTAGCTGGGTGCATGAACAGCCAGTGGTTGTCCTCTACTGAAATCATAAGAAGAATAGTCATGGGATGGACACCAGTTCATTGTTGGGTAAGCTACGTTTGAGGGGATTGGGGAGAGAATGTCAAGAGACTGTTGGAATGGAGCTTGGAGCTCTGAGGGAAACATGGGGCAGGATTGAGAGGTTTGGAAAGCATCAGCTATATGTATGCTTGGCAAATATTCTGCAGACACTTTGAAGGTGAACAAACCCACCTCTTGGTAACCAGATTGATTCTAAATTTGTGAAAGCTGACAGTAGCCTTTTGTTATTGTTGATAATAGTAAAAGTCTGTAACTTACTCTTACTGTTCCCAGCTGCTCACAGTGGAGTCTAGAAGGGTTTCTGGAACTTTGGCACAGATAGCCATGAGAGTGTTCAAGCATGGAGTGGGTCCTCAGGCTTTTATGGAGCTCCTCACCTGAAACTCAGACTGAGCCATAACCTTGACTTCTTTCCTGGCCTTGCTGAGAAGGTGCCATCTAAGGAGAGATCAAATGGAGGTGGAGGAACAACTATATAGTCTTCCAAAGAGCTTTCCAGGAAAAGGGACAGCCAGGGCAACAGCCCTGGAGTGTGGATGTGTGGTTGGTGTATGCAGGGAAGCACAGAGCTAGGGTAGAGTGAGTGAACGGGTAGGGAGCATGGGTTATGATGGAGGCTCTTTCCTTAGGCGGGGGCTGAGCAGGGTTTTGAGCAGAGGAGTGGGGAGGCCTTGGCAGCTGTATGGAGTTCACATTGTGGGAAACTAAAGGGCAGCACTGGGGAGGTCATTGAGGAAGCTGCTGACAGTCTAGGTGAGAGACCATGGCAGTTTGGGCCTAGGTCATAATGGTGGAAGTCAGGAGAAGTGGTCAGATGCAGATTTCTTGGTGGATGGGATATGGGGTGTGAGATAAACAGAGGAATTGGGGTGAGATCAGAATGTGGCCTGAACAGTGGAAAAGATGCAGTTGCCATTACTTGAGGTGAGAGTGTGTGTGGGTGGGACAGAAATGTTTGCTGGATTTTGGGCATGTTGTTTGCATTGCCTAGCAGCAGTGTAAGTGGACCTACTGTGTAGACATATATATATAGATAAAAGTCTAAGCAACGATTGAACCAGTATACTCAACACAATGGCATGGAAAACATGGAACAGACTGATGAATCGGTGGGGGGTGGGGGAAGTGAGGGGAGAGCAGGAAGAGATTAACCAAAGATCTTATATGCATACAAGAGGCCGGGTGCATGGATTTGTGCACCACTGGGGTCCCTCTGTGGGGTGTGGGCCGAAACCAGCTTCCAATATCCCCCAAGGGGTCCCAGATTGCAGACGTCAGCAGTGACTCCAAAGGGCATCTGAAAGAATAAGTAAACCTGTGGAAGCTATAGTGTTTGTCACAGAGTGACAAACTAACAACATTGGATAAAACTAAAAATTGAAGTAGGCTAGTGTACCTAAATAGAATTATTTCCCATTGGGATAGAGTAAACGTTAGCAGTTTGTGGTGAGCTCACTAAATACAGCATACACCAAAATAAACCTCAGATATTAAAGAGAGGAACATTCTAAATAATTAAAACAGAAGAAAAACAATTGAATACGTATCAAACCTCTAGCAGAAGGAATGTTTTTTAAGGTTAACAGGCAGTAAAGGATGTCACAAAGAAGAATAAGAGTTTGCTACATAAATCTACAATATAGGAAGGCAAACTGATGGAATTTGCAGCTAATGCCTGTAGTATCAATAGTCCATGGAGCCCAGCTGGTGTGGCTCAGTGGTTGAGTGTCAACCTATGAATCAGAAGATCATGGTTCCATTCCTGGTCAGGGCACATGCCTGAGTTCCAGACTCAATCCCCAGTAGGGGGACATACAGGAGACAGCTGATCAGTGATTCTCATTGATGTTTCTATCTCTCCCACTCCCTTACTCTCTGAAATCACTAAAAATATATATTTTTAGAAATAGTCCATGGAAATGGCAAAGAAAATCACGTCTCCTTTCTGGATTCCTAGCTAACCATGTCTCTGCTCTTGGACTTGGGCACCATGGTGAAGTCTTGGGTTCACATGTCTGCCCTCCTGGACTCAGCTCCTAGAAGAGATTCTGGGTCCTTGTATTTATTAGGCCGCTGCACAGTCTAACAAATGCACAAATAATTATGCACATTATGACCTAGGCCCAAACTGCACAGGAGCACTCATCAAAACAGGAGCACTAATGGTATATGTACAAAGATAATAATTTAATTAAAAAAAAATAAAAACAAAAACAGGAGCACTATCGTCTAAGTACAAGACAACTCTAGACAACAGATGTGAAAAGCCTGCATTTTCACGACTAATCAAAGTAAACTTAAAATATAACAAGTTACAAGGGAAAAGTTATTAGGGGAGTCTTGAAATGGACCTTCTGCTTATAGAAGTGTGAAGTCATAGAGGTCTTTGAAAAGCAGTCTGCAGTGTTAAGAGACTCCAGACTTAGGAAAGTTCAGTTTTCTTCCCAGATTCCCACTTTCGGGTAATGGGCTCAAAGGAACAATCCAGGATGTGGAGAGTGACACATACCCACATGCTCATTAGTATGAAAAACGGGAATCCAGTCAAAGTTCATTGTTAAATTAGGTCTGTTTGTGGTAGCAAATGCTCTCAACGACATAGAATGCAGAATAAATCAAAATAAGCCCTGAAGATCACATATACTGTTAGAATGTTACAGCAGCATTCCAGTGCATGCAGCATGAAATGCAAATGCTAGTGCGGTGTGGGCAAATTCATCCAGCTGTCACTGAAGATATATATTTTTTTAATATATTTTATTGATTTTTCACAGAGAGGAAGGAAGAGGGATAGAGAGTTAGAAACATCGATGAGAGAGAATCATCGACCAGCTGCCTCTTGCACACCCCCTACTGGGGATGTGCCCGCCACCACGGTACATGCCCTTGACCGGAATCGAACGTGGGACCTTTCAGTCCGCAGGCCAACACTCTATCCACTGAGCCAAACCGGTTTCGGCTGAAGATATTTTTTAATTAGAAAAAAATACAATAGAAATTTTGAATATTTTGCTTACACTTTTTGAAAATCCTATGGGGAAAGGACCCGAAAGCAAATAACTTGCTGCTGTGTTTCTCTTCATATCGGCAGCTCTTCTGTGTGCCTAGCATGGCATCAGGCAATGAGAGCACGGTCAGTAAGACCGTGCCTGTCACACCTGCATGTGAGATGGGCATCGTCACCATCACGTTGACTTTTATAGATGCTTTGGAGTGTGCCTGATGCCTTCCTACAGCAATTCTCACATTTAATCCTCACAGCAACCCTCTGAGGAAGTTGCTTGCTTATGTATATATGTATTTAGGATAGGTCCTATTGTAAATCCTCATTCTTCAGATGTGAAAACTGAGTCACAAAGAAATGAGTATGATTAATTGTGTTTGGCGGCTCCATAGGGAAGGGGTGCTCCTGTCAGGATCTTGGAGATGAGAGCTAATTCATGAGGAAAAGGGTCTGAAGATGGCTTTGCTCTCAGTCAGTAGCTATTAAGTTCTGACTGTGTCAAGCACTCCACGGAATGTAAAACCTGCAATGCTCAAAGGGCTGTGTGAGGTAGGCCCAGTTAGAATGGAGCGAGCTTAGAGGGGTTGAGGAGCAAGCCACAGGCCCAATAGGTATCAGAGCCGTGGTTTTAATAGGTGGGTGCAATGCCACAAGACACCAAGCTTTCACTGCGCCCCTAGTCGCCTTGTGTATGAAAGGGGTAGGACAGGACCAGTTAGATCCTTGAAAATCGTTAGTGGGGAAGTTTTGCAGATTGGTTACAAAAAGAGTCTACTTTTGATGGTCCTGGGTCAAGTCTCTTCAAACATGACACCAGCTGGCAGATGGGTGGTACTGCTTGCCCCCCGTTGCCAACTCTGCACTCCAGGTAAGACACTCAATGCCAGCCCTCTGTCTTCCAGATGTGATGGACGTAGCATGGTCTCCTCATGACGCCTGGCTGGCTTCGTGCAGCGTGGATAACACTGTCGTCATCTGGAATGCAGTGAAGTTCCCAGGTCTGGGCCTCCCCTGGCTGTGGGGTGGCAGGAATGGGTTGCTCCTCATCCTGCTGCCTTTTGGTGTCTGGAGCACAATGGCTCTCTCTAGCTGGTGGCAGCATGTGTCTCACAGTGGACAGGGATCCATGTGTCTTGTCAGTAATTCAGTTATTTTTCTTCATCAGTTATATTTAAGGTTTTAAAAGAGTTTTATGTTAAAGAAAAATACTAAACATGTGCCACAAATCATGAGGGTGATACACTGACAATTGGCATTGGGGACCTCGCCCAGCTTGTGCTCAGCTTGCCCTGACACCCCTACCCATGCTGTGCCTTCACGTGCACCCCAGCATCTCCACACATATGCCCTCAAGGGTCGCCATTCCACCACTGGGCTCTGGCCTCAGCTCAGTTTCCACCTGCTCTGTGACACCCTTGAGCAGATGCAGGCTAGCAAATCTAGTTTTGCAAAAGATTAATTTTTCATATTAATGTGTTTGAAGTCATGACAGATGGCATAACCTGGGATAGCACTGCAGTTTATACCTAGTAAGATACTTCTTATGCTCCTGCTTCATATCTGGATATGTTTTCCTCATGGGCTGAAAAGCATTGGCCAAGTGCACTCCTAAAGTTCCTTCTCTTGGTTGGCCATCCCATAACCCATGGATTGTAGTTCATGTTTCTATACAGAGTCATCGTTTTCCTCTAAGTAACAACTTTCCAATCTCTTATTTTTCTTCACAGAAATTCTAGCTACTCTGAGAGGTCATTCTGGCTTGGTAAAGGGGTTGACTTGGGACCCTGTTGGTAAATATATTGCCTCTCAAGCTGATGACCGCAGCCTGAAGGTGTGGAGGACGCTGGACTGGCAGTTGGAGACCAGCATCACCAAGCCTTTTGATGAGGTAACGAGACAGCCTAGAGAACTCAGCCTGCACCCTTCCTGGCCTCCGTGCACAGAGGAGCTGGCTGGGGTGGGGCTTGGTGGGTGAATCAGAGTCCGGTGGCCTGAGCAGACTGTCCAAGTTCTCTGGGGTGGGCATTTTGGCCCTAAGAGTCAGGAAATGAAAATCTTTCATTTCTCAGATGTTATCAAAAGTCTGCCTTTGAGTGAAAATAATTTAAAAGTTTTAAAGCTAAGGAGATACCCCACAACCTTGTGCCACACAGCTGGCTGCCACAGACATGGATGAAAGTATTTCTCACCATGTGACGTTTATATTGCACTGCCCCTGGGATGGATGGGAGGACAGGGGATGGAAGTAGTTCTCTCCTATATTTTTCCTGACTACAGTGGCATTGCTCACTGACTTCCACTGCAGGCCAGCTGACTTTCTTGAGTAAGAGTTACAGTACAGTTTGCAAAATGTCTGGAGTTCAGACTGCAGTGGTTTGTCTATAGTGTGTTACTGTCTCTTCTATTTGAGTTCTCATTCTATATGGGGTCAACACTCAAACTCACCATTATTCATTAGACATTAAGTGCCTACTATGTACAAGGCAGTACTGTGTACAGAAAATAAGTGGTTTATCCAGACTTTACAAACCTCTTCTCCTTTGCTGGTAGCATAACCAGGCTTTGGGTGAGGAGATAGGCTTTGAGAGAACAGGTGATGTGACTCAAGGTCACAGAGACAGGTTTCTGAGGGTCAACAGGGCTCTTTCTCCACTGCAGTGAATGCTCTACAGACCTCATGGAGTGGAATTAAAAGGTGCTGGCAGGAAAAAGGGGGTAAGTGGCCAGATAGATGTGGCCCATACAGAGTTAATAGTTAAAAGAGTTGTCCATACAAGCGGAATCTCAGAGGGGGGGCTGTGGAGGGTGGGTGGGAAGTAATCAAGCAAAGACCTTGTAAGCATATATGCATAACCTATGGATACAGACAATAGAGTGTTGAAGGCCTGGGGGCAGGGCGGGGGGCCGGGGGAGACGTCATTGGGGGAAAAGGGGACATATGTAATACAATAAAGAATTACTAAATTTTTTTTAAAAGAGAGTTGTCCGTCCTATAGATCCCCTCAGGTCTTACCTCACTGTGCTGTGCTCAGCTCCTGTGGTAGTGGAGTATGCCATGGCTCCAACTCTCCTCTGACAGAGCCTTTTAGTTGTGTCATCTGGAGAGGCTGGAGCTACAGCTGTCTGTATAACCAGAAGCTTGGGTACAGGCTCCACCATCACACATTTATAAATCAGAGTTCAAGTTTATTATTATTATTATTATTATTATTATGTATTAATATGTTTTATTTATGAACTGGATTTGGTTCTTAATCTTAGAATTTTTTTTTAATATATTCTATTGATTTTTTACAGAGAGGAAGGGAGAAGGGAGAGTCAGAAACATCTATCAGCTGCCTCCTGCACACCCTCCACTGGGGATGTGCCCGCAACCAAGGTGCATGCCTTGACAGGAATCTGATCTAGGACCTTTGAGCCCGCAGGCCAATGCTCTATCCACTGAGGCAACCGGCTAGGGCTAGAATGGTTTTTTGTTGTTTTTTTTTTTTTAAACTATGGTTCCCATTCTGGCTTCCTTGCTTCTTCATAGTCCAATCTTGGTCAACAGTAGAAAGTAATACCATTGTTCCACATCTTACTTAAAAAAAGAACATTACTTCAAGGGGAAGAACATTGTCACCTGGTCGCCTTTTGGGGTGGAGTCCCCCAGATGGGGGTGATGCTGCCAGGCGGGCAAGTGGGCGCCAGGGAGTGTGCGTGTCCCCGGTAACCTGGGTCTCACTTGTCCTTGTAACCGATTCTCAAATTTATTCTTTTTTTTTTTTTTTTTAATATATTCTTATTGATTTCAAAGAGGAAGAAAGAGGGAAAGAGAGAGAGAAACATCCATGATAAGAGAGAATCATGGATCGGTTGTCTCCTGCAAGTCCCCCACAGGGGGGGGTCGAGGCCACAACTGGACATGTGCCCTTGACAGGAATCAAATCTGGGACCCTACAGTTCGCAGGCCAACGCTCTATCTGCTGAGCCAAACTGGCTAGGGCTCAAATTTATTCTTGAGTCCCTTTTTGGTCACAAGGTTGGCCTTGATTTACTTTTAAGCACAGATGTTTCTTTCAGTGTGGAGGGACAACCCATGTGTTGCGGCTCAGCTGGTCACCTGATGGACATTACCTGGTGTCTGCCCACGCCATGAACAACTCCGGCCCCACTGCCCAGATCATCGAGCGGGAGGGCTGGAAGACCAACATGGACTTCGTCGGACACCGAAAAGCTGTGACTGTCGTGGTGAGTGTGCTCAGAGTGGTCCCCTCAGAGCCCGGGCAGTGCTGTGCTCAGCAAGGCTGGGTCACCAAGGCCAAGATTCAGCACATGTCAGTTCCTTGTTTTATTTTAAATACTTAGGTTTTGGCATTTAAAAATTAAACTTAAAAAATAGAATACATACTCATGTGTTTATTGGCAAACTTTACATTATGAAATATCACCAAAATGAGCCTTTGATTAGTGACACTAGCTCTGCACTAGTCTCTTTACACATTCCAGTCTGCTGGTGGGTGCTCACGCATGGTGGTCCTGACAGGTGCCCCACCCACCTGTGGGCTCTGGAGGACACAGGTGCAGTTTGAGTGTCCATGGAGCCCGTGCACTTGTCCCAGAGCCTGCTAGGGCTGTGCTTTGGATCACTGGAGTGCTTGTCTGATTCTGGAGCTGTCGGCCCCGTTTTGATGTGGAAGAGGGAAGAGTGCCGGAAGATGTGTTATTCTCTCAGGCTTCAGAGAATAACACTTTTTATGCTTTTGGATGACTTTCATTGAAGAATCTCTTGAGAGTACCCAAGGCAAACACTATTAGGACCAGAATTTCCTCAACACTGGGTACCACAACTAAGTCAATAGATGACAGGCGAAGGATGATAGAAGTGAAGGATCATCCAGGCCCCTGACCTCAGTTTTTTTATTTATCAGAATGGGCTCCTTCTTCCCATTGTTTAAAGTGATAATATATACCATATAATGTGACTTAAACTTATGCAAATAAAAGATCACTTCTTTAATATTTCATGTTGGAGTCCATGTAAGATCTTGTTTGAAACTAGGACCATGTTGCTAAAATGTTTGAAAGTCACTGCTTCGTAGTTAGCATAGTGCTTCCACATGACTCTCAAGTGAACCTCATAGAGCAACTGTGTGAGGTGGTTGTGAAGACTCAAGCCCAGAATACGTTGTGAAGACTCAAGCCCAGAATACCTCTGGGTTCCAGGTTCTCCGGTCTCTGGCCATTCTTGCCTGCCCTCTGGAATTAGAATCCTTCTGGACCACCTAACATATCCTTGCCTTTCAGTTTTCCTGGCTTAGTAGATTTCAACTCTTAGTCTAGAGCTCCCAACTCTTTTCAATTCAGGAAAGCAGCAAGGACCTCCATGTGTGCTTCCAAGCTTCCCAAAAATGATGCCCTCGTTACACTTAGCCTGAGGTAGCCATCATCCCTGTTTGTGAGGTCAAAGCAGGGCTGCTCAGTCTCTGTAAGACAGTATTGACTGAGCAAGAAATAAAGTGAAAGGAAAGGAGCATTGGAACAGCTCCCCTCAGGACCTTGTCCCTAAAGCTCAGGTCCTAGAGCTGGTCCTGCCCAGACAGGGGGGGATTCAGTAGCTCCCTTGCCATGGATCTGACTGTGGGCCCAGCCTGGGGAGTTGGTATAGCCTGTTTCAAATCCTCCTCACCTTAATTACTCATTTGGTGACTCAGCTCATGTGTTTTGGCCTCTCTGAATCTCACTTCAGCCTCAGCAAAGTGCCTCCTGGGTAGTTGTAAAGATCAAGTAACATGCTGAGTGCCTGGGCCAGGAAGATGTCTGTGTGGACTGCCCATCGGTGGACTGCAGTTGTGGTATATTTGTAATACTGGGCATGCGGTACATGCTTGATGCTTGATCAATTATTTTAGCATTTGTTATTTGGCTTTAGAAATTCAACCCAAAAATCTTCAAAAAGAAGCAGAAGAATGGGAGTTCTGCGAAGCCCAGCTGCCCGTACTGCTGCTGTGCTGTTGGCAGCAAGGACCGTTCTCTCTCTGTCTGGGTGAGCCTTCCCCTTCCACCCCCCCACCCCCGTCATGAGCTTTTGCTACACCTGCAAGGTGACAGGATTCAGGGCTGGTGAAGGTTTGGAAGCCTGCCAGAGAGGGACCCTGGTGTCCAGACTCAAGGAACACTTTAGTTGGCATGTTGTGTTGGCTTCACTTAAAAACCCTATATCAACACACAACCTAGATGAAGTATATAGCTCAGAGCATTGCCATAACATGTTTACACATGTAACCATCATCCCAGAACCCTCTGCCAGAGCAACCATTCTAATGACATGGTTATGTATGTTATTACATTTAATGATAGTTTATTCCTTATTAATTTCCCCATAAGCGGAAGATTTGAAGGTTATCCTCTGATTGCATTTATTATGGTCATTCGTCACAGAAATTGATTGCTGTGTACACTGTGATTTTTTCAGGCCCAGTATTCATGTTACATCCATTCCAGAACCTGAACCCTAGTGCCATCATAGGCAGTTCCAGGCATGTCCTTCCTGGCCTGGGGCTCCATTCATGGTGCTTTGACCAAAACATCACTGATCCTGTGCTCATGTTTCTTATAAAATTGAGGTCAGTTGCTCACACAGATCCAGATTTCTGAGGGGTCTGTAGACACATTTTTGGGATGAGGGGCAGAGTTCTTTTTTCTGGAAGTACAGTTAGGGTAGGGGCAAGATTTCTCTGGTGGATTCCAGGTAGCTCAGATTCCAGCCCTCTCCTCAGAATTAGGATGATTGAAGTAACTCCTTTTCCACAAAAACAGTCCTAGCCTACTGGAAGCTTCCATAGTACTTGGTGGGAGCCCTGCAGAAGGGTATTCCCACCCAGCCTACCGCTCTGTGGCCCCAGGACCTGTCAACAGGAAGTCAAGACACTATGAGAGGTGGATCTCACGTGGGAGCATGCAGACAGTGCAGGGCCCAACGTTACAATCACTAGATCATGTATATGCACGTGTGAATGTTCTGCAGTCATCTATAACAGATGATTACAGGATATTTAATGACATGCTCAGTGGATATTAAATGAAAAAGGCAGGCATGTGCCTTATTTTGTAGACCAGAAGAAAGTAACTCACCCAACATTAATAGTGGTTAACTTTGGGTCTGGATTAGGGCAACATAAACTGTTTTTTGTGAGTTTATGAACTGTCCACACACAGTGTAGAATGAGCCTGTGTGACAGATGTAGCCGCTTACACCAAGCCTTGTACAAATGTGTTCCACAATTCCTTGGGCCCAGAAGATAAGCTGCGTTTTCTCTGGAACTATTTTCCGGCCTCATCCCTGGCATGCCTTCCCCTACTTGGCAGCCCTTCCCTACTCAGGTCTTGGCCCTTCCAGAGTCCCCTACTCCATCATTGGTTGTCTGTGTATGCAGTCATCTCCCCCGCCAGATCCCTTCAGACAGGGAGCATTCTAGTTTGCATATTTCGGCAAGCTTTGGTTTCTGCAGTTTGGAATCTTGATCATCGATGTTTGAAATTCTGACCAAGTCTTCTAGGTCTGATAATGTTAACTGAGCTGAATGAACAAAATAATGTTTTCATTCATTTATTAATCTTTGCTGCTGCTTTCTTTCCAGCTCACGTGTCTAAAACGACCTTTGGTTGTCATCCATGAGCTGTTTGACAAATCCATCATGGATATTTCCTGGTAAGGTGGATTCCTGTATTATTAGGCTTAGGAAAGGAGAAGCCACACATTGGAACACGAGACCCCTTGATGTGATTAGTGTCAGGTAGCCAGGGACCCACTCCAGGTTTTGACACCGAAGCAGACACCAGGGTGCTGTTTATACGTGATTCAAGAAAGGGCAGCGTGGTCCTGCTTGTGGGAGAGTGTATACTGCTGTGCTCTTTGCTCTGTTGGGATTTGCCCTGGAAAATGCCTTCTCCAACAAACTGGTATTTAGGAAAAGGAGAATGCTGTGATCTTCACTTCACTTTGTCCTTGCATGAACCAGATTAGCATAGGTGTGGAGGCACAGTCTGCCTCTCAGTGACCTCGTTTAGATTTGTACTCCCCCACATGGTTGTTTTTTTTTAATGGTTTTAAAAATAAGATAAAAAAGATAAAATTCTTACAAAATACATGATGAAAGATACTTTGTGCATGTGCTTAGAACTAAAGGATGCCAGAACCTTCTGGGACTCTATTGTCTGACCTATCCGCATCCCCATCCCCGCAAGGCCACAACAGGGACTCAGAGATTCTCATTGTCTACCTAGTGCTCTGCCCTGCTGTCCTCTCACCAATCACTGAGGCACGCGTGAGCACCACAAGGCTTGCTCCAGGCTGCTAATGGTCTTCTCTTTCAGGACTCTGAACGGGCTGGGTATCCTGGTGTGTTCCATGGATGGCTCTGTGGCATTCCTAGATTTCTCCCAGGATGAGCTCGGAGACCCCCTGAGCGAGGAGGAGAAGGTAGGAGAATAACATACTGCGGGCTAGTGACCTGTGTGTGCTGCACAGGCTCTGAGGCCACAGAAGTGGCCATGACAGCTCTGAGAGGCCCCTTCAATTGGACCATCTTGTGAAATACTCAGATACATTGTTTCTCTTCTTTTTTTAAATAATTCTTTATTGTTGAATATGTACTTTGTTTCTTAACATATTATTGGGTGTTCATCTTTTATAAGCCTAATCCTTGTTTTGTTTTTTTTAGAAAGTAGATTAATTTAAAAATGAATCTCGGTTCATATCAGAAATCAGTTCTGGAAGGAAGAATAAAACCATTTTGGGCATCTCTTCCTGAACTGATAATTAGCTGCACACTGGGAGGTTTCTCCCTGGGGGAGAGCCTGAGAGCTCCCAAGGGTCCCCGTTCACCTCACCTTCCCCATTGTCGTGCTAACAAGGCTGCCATGGAGCAGCAACTAAATAGTAATATTGACCATTTTTCAGCACTTACTATGTAACAGTCTCTGACCATATGTTTTATTTAAAATACACAAAACCCTTTAAGGCAGAACTTGCTCGTTTCATCAATGAAGTAACTAAGCCACGGAAGATAGCATGGCTCTTTGCCAAATTCTGAGGGATTTAGGGGAAAGGGGATAGGAGCCAGGGGGTAAGGGAGGGAGGTTCCTGGCCACATACAGGCACACCAGGTCCTGAAGGAGTGAGTCCCAAGATGCCACTTCCCTCACCAGCATCTTCTGCTGTGAGGCAGATTTCCTACTGACCTCCACATTGGTCAGTGCACGTCCTTATGTGAATTTGTTCTTTATCGCACCAGTCATTCCAGTGCTCTCGGGACATTATCCCTGCCCTTGTGGGGTTCTGTCGGACTTGTTTTGGCATGCGACCAGTGAGACTTGGAAAGATGGAGAGAGGGACCCGGCTCAGAAGGATCTAGACAGCAGGGAACGAGAAGGATGTCCCTAGGTCAGCTGTGCTAGGCCTCCCCTTGTTCTTAGAAACACTGTTAGCAGCCCCATGGCGACCTCCAACCAAATGGAGCTGATGGCTGTAGATAAGAACAATTAAAGCAGACTCTGGTCTCAGTATCTGATTCCCAAAGAGTGTTTGGGGTCCTTGGGTGATTTAAGAGGCTTAAGTTAGCAATTTGAGTGACTTAACTTCAGTTCAACAAACATAACATTTGTTCTGCATCAGACATGTAGTAGGATTTTTCTGCTTGGTTGCTCATTCACTTTTGTCCCCAGGTATAGATACATAGAAGACTATAAACATGTAGGAAAGATACAAGACTGCTCCAGAGTCATCTTACTGGCAACAGGCAGAATAGGGTGGGAGGCAATAGAGAACTGGCATCTGGCACTCTGGGACCCCTGCCAGAGCCAGGAGAGCTAGCACACAGTTCACCCATGGGTGAGCAGTATCTACTACTTGGCTGCTCACAGCTGATTTGTTGTACTTTGCTTTCTCTAGAGCCACATTCACCAATCCACCTATGGGAAAAGCTTGGCTATCATGACCGAGGCCCAGCTGTCTACAGCTGTCATTGAGAACCCTGAGATGCTCAAGTACCAGCGGAGGCAGCAACAGCAGCAGCTGGACCAGAAGAGTGCCGTGGCCAGAGAGACAGGCTCAGCTGCCTCAGTCGCTGGAGTCGTCAATGGGGAGAGTCTGGAAGACATCAGGAAGGTGAGGGCTTGGCCCGATGGCACTGAGAACATAGCACATGCCCGGGGACAGGACAAGGGGAACAGGCAGTCTGGACAGGGTACAGACATGAGTGGTGGGGAGGTGGGTGTGTGCTGGATCTGGTGTAGGAGCCAGGAATGAGCAAGTTTGGGTGGGACCACTTGGCCCATTACCCTCAGTTGCATGAGGAAGTAGTAGTGCTTAATCCACCTTTATCAAAGGCCTTTTTGCCCCAAAGAGCTCTAGAAGGGGTCATTTCTTAAAGGAATTTGGCCTTTCTAGGGAATTCTATGTACTGTTAGTCCTTGAATAACATCATTTTGTCATTACAGCCTTGATGAGAAAATACAAAATTGAGTCTTGTGTGGCGTTTGCACATTCTCCCCCTGTGTTCCCTCACATCCCAAAGGTGTGCATGATAGGTTTACTGTCCAAGGTACGCCAGAGCTGCCAAGATAGGGCTCAAGCCACCCATGAAATAAGTGGATGGGAAAATAATCACCTTACTTGTTTTTATTAATTTTCTTTCAATGTATGTATAGCTCACATATATTTCAGAGTTTAGTATTACAAGTATTTTGGGTCTTTACTTAGAAGTTTGATGGTGTTTTTGTGATCAGAAATATGCCATAGGAACTTAACTCTTGTTTATATCAATTAGCCTCTGGTAAAATTGATTCCCTTGTATGTTGTTTCACTTTAAGTCAGTTTCCAAGAACCTATTGATGACATTAAGTGAGGATTTACTGTGCTGAGAATATTAGGTTTCAGTCTCTGCTCTTAGGAAACATCTTTGAGCTCCTCTGTCTTCTCTCTGAGAGGTGGAAGGTAGAGATGGGACAGGAAGGTTAGAATTTCTTAGGGTGCTTGAACCATCTTTAGGAGTTTGTGAAGGGTGATGAACCTCCAGAGGTGATTCAGACACAATGTGTGACCCTTTGTTATGAGCCCTAGTGGAAGAAAGTTTGCAAACCAGAGCTTAGAGACAAAAGTGTGGCTCATGGTTGCAAGTCTCATCTGTTAATTCCCTTGTACACACACACACACACACACACACACACACACACACACACACACACACACCCGTCCTCGTTGGCCTCTTACTTTGCCCTGGAACCTGGCCAGTCCTGCATACTGTCATGGAGAGGACGGGGATGAGCTGATTCAGCTGGAGCTTTCTGTCCTTTCTGTGCCGGAAGTGGAGCATGTACCCTATAAAAACATTTATTCTTTGTTTGAATGGCTTAGTTTAGTTGTACCAGAAGTCTGTAGAAAGGAAAGTCAAAATACATTTCCTTAGAAACCTTATTTTTTGATAATGAGATGGTTCACATAAACGTTTCCATTCATTTATATCACTCTACTTTGGCAGAATCTTTTGAAGAAACAAGTTGAGACTCGGACAGCAGATGGTCGGAGAAGAATCACACCTCTCTGCATAGCACAGCTGGACACCGGGTACTCGTTCATTCGCCGAGCTTTCTGTGGCTTTGTGTGGGAGCTCTTCCTCTCGCCTTTCACCACTTAGCACTTTCATAATCAGGGTCTTCACAGGCTCTTGGGCAGATCTGACACTTAGAATCTGGAAGTGAGAGAGTTGAGCCCAGCTTCCCACCAGTCTCAGAGTCCAGTGCTCCTCACAGAGCCCTTATGCAAACTTACGTTGAAGGTGGGCTGGGAAGAGCCTGTGACAGGCCAGCAGCCAAGGGCACCTTCACAGGGTCAGCGTGTCTGCACAGCCAACCCTGCTTCATCTTGCCAGGGCATTGAAAGATTCGAGGTGGAGAAGTTGGACTGATTTTCTTTTTTTCCGTTTCTTTTTTCCCTAGCTTTCTTTTTTAAATTTTATTGTAACTTAATACATATATTTATTATTGAAAATAGTCAAGGCCCAAAGGACATAAACCTTACCCTTAATTCAGTCTCTTAGATATAATCAATGTCAATATTTTGCTATCTGTATCTCCAGTCTTTTCCCGACTTCTTCCTATATCTTGACCTCGCATCCATTTTAATAAATAGTCCTTTGAAGCATTAGCTTGCTGATTGTCCAGGTTTTCAGCCTGTGAATGCACCATGATTTACTTAACCAGCCCCTTAACTGTGGACTTGTAGTTTTTTTATTATAAATGAGTAACAGCACCCCTGTGACTGTTACTTCAGGTTCTTCCCACAAGTGGAACTGATGGGTGGAGAGTGGAGCTCTGAGGCACATTTCCCTGAGGAGGCAGAGAGGGGGGAAGTGAACACAGTCACTATGTGCTGTGTCTTAGCATCTATTGTTAGGCTTGCTTTTATATGGGCCATTCTGCCCAAAATTATGTATGTTGATTCAAAGAATTATAAAGTCCAATATGAAAGAAAGAAATTCTCCCCTCCCCCTATAAAGGTGATTCACTCTGGGTTATATTCATGCAGCCTACTCAGGACAACCACACGATGTAGCCTCTGCACATTGCAACTGTTCATCCATGAGCCTGTTCTAAATCTTCTTAGAAGTCTAAAGAGACCTTCAGTCATATGATGTGCTGATTGATCTCCTCATGTTAGGTGTTTGGGCACTGAGACCCAATGGAGCCAGTACCAGTTTCCTGGCTCCTCCCAGAGAGTGGTTTTCCTTTTCCCCGTGCCACTTGCTGCCACCTTTTATTAGGACCAAGTCAGACCAAGTATGTGACACTGTAAGAGTTGTGGGAGTGAGGGTCATGGAAGCGGTGGAGGTGACGGTGGTGGTGGCATTTTTGTCTGTAGATCCCTCCCTTGTAAGGGGGCAGAGAGAGAAGATTGCTTCCTGCCTAGACTTGAGCCAGCTTTCTGCTATAGAACTCATTTTCTGGCACCAGAATTTGATTCTTTTGGTCTCCAAGGCTTCTTTGCCCTCCTGATACCCATATTAAAACAAATAGTAACAAACAAACAAAACAAAAAAACAAATAGTAACAGAATAGCTAATTATTAGCTTAGCTAATCAAGAAAGAAAAAAAGCACAAATATTTAACGTAGAAATAAGTGGGAAATAACTACAAATAACGAATAAATTAAAAAGATGAAATCTTTGCTGAACTCTGCAAATAAATTTGAAAATGGGTGATTTTTGAAGAAAATAAAATTAGCAAACTGAAGAAAATCTGTACAGATTAATTATTACAGAAGAAAGAGAGGACACTATCAAATAATTAATCTGCCAAAAGCTACCAGACTAAGAAGGAAAATTCTAACACTTTGAAGGAACAAATCATTCTAATAATATTGAAAACATTCTAGTGCATAGGAAAGGAAGGAAAGCTTACAAAATCTTTGTCTTTGAAGTGAACACAATATTTATACCAAATCTTGACAGAGGTAGAACATAATAAGTTACTGATCAATCTCATTTCTGAATGTCAATGCAGAATCCTAAATAAATAGTAACAAACAGAACCTTACAGTGTGTTAAAACATTAATGCCCTATGACCAAGTAAAGTTTATTTTGGGAAAGCAAAGTAGTTCAAATTTGGAAAACTTAATTTACTTCTACATGTTAATATATCCCCAAAAATGATATGATCATTTCTAGAGATGCTTAATAGGCATTTTTATTTAATTCAACATCATTCTTATTTAAAACTCATTTAAACAGGAATAGATGGGTGCTTCATAAACTTTCTTATTCAAATTAAATTAAAGAACTAAAATGTCCACTCTTCTGACTATAATTTAAGAAATTAATTCTAGAGATCCTTGCTCAGTCAAGAGAAACAATAAATTGGGTAGGAAATGGTAAATGTGTTATTATCTAAATATGATATGATCTCTATAAGAGAATCAACTGGAAAAACTTTGATAGACAATAAAAGAAGAAAATAAGGTGACTATCCACAAACTACATGATGAGATCAAGTAACACCAACTACTTTTAGAAGATAAGAAGTAATGACCTAGCCGGTTTAGCTCAGAACATAGAACATCAGCCTGCGGACTGAAAGATCCCGGGCACATGCCAGGGTTGTGGGCTTAATCCCCATTAGGGGATGTGCAGGAGGCAGCCAATCAATGATTCTCTCTCATCATCATTGATGTTTCTCTCTCTTCCCCTCTCCCTTCCTCTCTGAAATCAATAAATAAAATATTTTTTAAAAGAAATTTATTAAAATTGTCAGTGAGGATGGGGGGTTATAGACAATCATAGACAGGTTGTAATTTAAACCTCTAAGGAAGGCACTTTAGAGCTACTTGTCAAAAATCATTAATGAACATTTCTTTGACTGCTGCAATTCCACCTCTAGGAATTTATCTCATGTAAGCTGAAACAGCAGCTGTGATGACAGTTATGCCAGTGGACATCTTTGAGCAGCTACTATGTGTTCTAAGTGTTTGCTACGCTAACAACTTTAGTCCTGACAGCAACCTCATGGGGAAGGTCCTGTCATTTTCTGTTTTGCAGATAGGAACCTGAAGCACAGAGTGGTTGAAGCACCCAAGGTCCCAGAGCAGAGGAGTGACACCTGGCTGGTTTGGCCCAGGGCCCTCAGTCTTAACACTGCAGTATCTTGCCTCCTGCTGCAGCAGTGTCTATTACTGAACAGGCTGAGAGACAGCCCAGCCCAGTTGTTCCTCAGTAAAGACTGGTTAGGTAAATTATGGCACGTGCATATAGTCCATAATAAAAGGGAGGTCCACTCTGTATGCTATATTTCATTAGTCCTCAGACACATGTTTTTACATTTTAACACCTCTAAGATCAGGATGCATCTGGCTATTATATTTGGTAGCCATTTTTTCTTAGTGGTACACAAAGTATCCGTTCACCATAGAGTCAGTTAAACAGAGTGTATGGAATGATTTTAGTTTTGTAATTTTGCAAATTTTCTTCTATGTAAATAAATTACCTTAGGATCCAGAAAAAAAGGGACTTAGAATTATATAAAGTACTTGATGTGGCATCTGATTTCTGAGGTTGACTCTGTTTTTCCTGACCATAGGGACTTCTCCACGGCGTTCTTTAACAGCATCCCACTCTCAGGCTCCCTGGCAGGCAGCATGCTCTCCTCTCACAGCAGTCCACAGCTACTGCCGCTGGACGCCAGCACCCCCAACTCCTTCGGCACCTCAAAGCCTTCCACGGAACCTGCGGCAGCAGCCGGCACCAGGCCTGCGGGCAATTCTGTCAATAAGGACAGGTGAGTGGGCACCAAGGCTTCCTCCTGCCCCTGGGGAAAGTTTGGGTTTGGACATAGTTCCAGGGACACTTCATGGCCCCTTCAATAAAAAGAAAAGAGCCTTAACCAGTTTGGCTCACTGGATAGAGCGTCAGCCTGCAGACTCAAGGGTCCCAGATTTGATTCCGGACAGAGGCATGTATCTTGGTTGTGGGCACATCCCCAGTAGGGAGTGTGAAGGCAGCTGATAGATGTTTCTCTCTCATTGATGCTTCTAACTCTCTATTCCTCTCCATTCCTCTCTGTAAAAAAATCAATAAAAAATATATTTTAAAAAATAAAAGGAAAGAAAGAAAAGAGATGCTAGATTTCCGATGAGGGCCTGCTCGGAAGGGAGGCCTTCATTCAGCTGAGCCTGATGCACAGGGCTGAGAGGACTCCACATCCTGGGGGAAGAGCAGTCCCAGGATTGGGCCCTGAGGGTGGGACCAGCCAAGGATCAACCCCCCTTCTGGCAGGTCTGCGCTGGAGGTGGCTGAGCCTCTGCTGCAGTATTGGTAGCATCACCGCACCGACCATCTCAGGCAGAGTGCTAGTGTGCTGGGGTAGAGTCCTATTTCACTCAGAATTAGGTTTGCTCCAGGAGTCTGTGTCTTCACCAACCATTACCTGGTCAGTAAGAACCAGAGGAGCATGAATAAGAGCCAGGAGCCATTCATTCAGTGAACATTTGCCCAGTACCTGCTCTGGGTTACACACTGCTAGTGTAACGCATGGGGTTGATTGGTGGGTCCTTGACCCCAGAGCATGTATAGGCTGGTGGAGAAAGGGGCAAACACAGAGGCATAAGGATGGCTCCTCGGGTCTCCTGTGTAGAAATGGCTGGCCATCCAAAGCGGGGGAGGGGTTGTTGGGCAGGTCTCAGGAAGACTTATTGGAGGATGCCTACCCAGGGCCCATATAGGCCACCCAGGGGAAGGGTTGGGATACAACAGCAAGAGCAGAACCCCAAGTCCCTGAGGAGTGTCAGTAAAGTGGGGGGGAAGCTGAGCTTTGGTACTGAATCAGATATCCTGGGCTTCTCCTTAGAAGTCCAGAGCCTTCTCCTTAGACACAGAAGGCTCTGGACTTCCACCTTAGACAGATCACTCCAGAAGGCCCAAATATAGCTGCCACCTAACACACGAAACTATTACTGTTAGAGTGATTCTCCAGCGGTGGGGACTGAGTCTTGTGTTTTACAGCCTCCTCCTTCCTCGGCTCTGATGTCATGGTCATGGAGGCATACACCAAGTGTCCAGTGTTCCGTGGCTGAGGGAAGTGTGAGGGTAGATGGGAAGAGGAGATGGAGCAGCTTGACCAGTTAGAAAGCTCTGGGGAGGAAGGGTATCTGGGGAAGGACAGAAAGCTCCAGATTTGCAAAATGTTTTGATAGTGGTCCTAGAGTTCTCTGGAGAGGAGGAGAGGCTGTCTAGGATACCTGCCAGGCATCTGGTGTCGGGTCCAGTCCTGTAGATTTGGTCATTAGGAGGCCCAGTGGTTTTGGGACCCAGTGTGAGGGAGGCAGATGACCACAGGGTAGTTGGCAGGCTCATGCGTGGGCTCTCCTTTCTGTGGGATGGACACTGGGAGAAGGCAAGGGCTGTGGGATGGAACCTGGGAGAAGAGTGTGAATTTGTCACATGGAGGGGCCACCGGGGCAGGAGGTTGAAGGTCAGGAATAGACAGTGGCTTCAGGACCCCAGATGGGACTTTTCTCATCAGACCCATTGTCAAAGTGGGAAAAGCTGGTGGTTGGAGTGGTTTGGTGGCTGTATTCAGGTTGTGGAGATGGGGCCGTATGGTGAGGAGAAAAGGGTTGCAAGAACCACTTTCTAGCCGAATCCTGTTTGGCTCAGTGGATAGAGCGTCAGCCTGCGGACTGAAGGGTCCAGGGTTCAATTCCGGTCAAGGGCATGTACCTCAGTTGCGGGCACATCCCCAGTAGGGGGTGTGCAAGAGGCAGCTGATGGATGATTCTCTCTCATCGATGTTTCTAACTCTCTATCCCTCTCTCTTCCTCTCTGTAAAAAAATCAATTAAAAAATATATTTTAAAAAAAAAAAACAAAAAAAACGAACCACTTTCTAGGCCTCGTGCTAACCCCAGAGCTCTCTGAACAATGCAGTGGGCAAATGTGAGTGCATTCTCTGACAGCCAAACTTCCAGAATTTTTTTTAGTAAATGTTTACTTTTTCATATTTACCATTTTTGTTTATTGATTTGGTTCAGAGAGAGAAACATTGATTTGTTGTTCCACTTCTTTATGCATTCATTGGTATGTGCCCTGACCGGGTATCAAACCCACAACCTTGGAGCATTGGGACAAAGCTCTAGCCACCTGGCCATGGCAAACTTCCAGAATTGTAACTTGTGAAAATATTTTTAAATAGTCAGGAATAGTACATTATACCTTAAAGTTTTTGTGTTTTTAGAAGTTTTATGTTTGTGCCCCTTTCACTTGGCTCCAGGTGATGTTAAGTCCCAGACCCCCAAATCCCTGGCGAATTGTGCTTGACATGCTCTCCCATCTTCTTCCCCACCCCAGCGTGAACGCTACCTCGGCTCCTGCTGCCTCGTCCCCCTCTGTGTTAACAACCCCATCCAAGATTGAACCCATGAAAGCGTTTGACTCCCGGTTCACGGAGCGGTCCAAAGCCACGCCTGGTGCTCCTGTCTTGACAAGTGTGACCCCGACGGCCGTGGAAAGGTAGGCGGTGACCGTGTGGGGCTCAGAGAGACAGGCGAACACAGTCTCCGGCCAGCAGTGCAGCGTCCTCTCTCCTACCAAGCAGCTTGCCCTCCCTGCGGGAGCAGACTAGTCTCTCTGCACTCGGGAGCCCGCTTCCAGGAGAGAGGAGCGGCTGCTTCAAGCGGGAAGGTTGCTGGAAGGAGCTGGGGGCGGACAGAGCAGCTCTGCACAAGGACCGGAGGGCAGCAGCATGGCCGCTGGGCAGTGTGGGAGATGTGCTCAGAATAACTGGGTGCGAGTGGAGCCAGAGTTTGTGTGAATGTCCCAACAGAAACCAGAACCCTCAGCTACTTTTTTAATGTTTCAGCTTTGGGGAATTGTATTGATAATTATAATTATAAGTTAGTAATCATATGAGAAAGCCGTGGGTACCTGTGCTTGTGCAGGTTGAAAGAGCAGAATCTTGTGAAAGAGTTGAGGCCCCGGGACCTCCTGGAGAGCAGCAGTGACAGCGATGAGAAGGTTCCTGTGGCCAAGTCCTCCTCCCTCTCCAAGCGGAAACTGGAGCTTGAGGTGGAAACAGTGGAGAAAAAGAAGAAAGGGCGACCTCGGAAGGACTCACGGCTCATGCCCATGTCTCTGTCTGTCCAGGTGAGGCCAGCAGGTCTGCGCTAGTTTCCCCGGCCCACTTGGTGAGTTCAGTGCTGGAGCTTGCATGTGCCCAGTGGGAGAAGGGAGGCCCTGCACACCACAGTGTGGGAACAGCTGGCTCAGACATGCACTCCGCTGGGCGTAGCATGGAGGCACACTCCCCCTCAGACCTGCTCTGGACCCACCCAGAGGCCTGGAGCAGCTCCTTGGCGTCGGCTACCTCATCTATCAAGTGGGGTCCCTGAAGCATTCATCTGTACTGTCCTCCCAGAGGGGGTGGAATACCCGGGGAACTGGCCTAGCCTTACCTCCAGGTGACTCCCCTCTACCTGACACTGCCCTCCAGTGCTGGGAGGGCTCAGAGACCTTTCTGCTCTTGCAGTCCCCAGCTGCTCTGACCGCAGAAAAGGACACTGTGTGTTTGTCTGTACCAGCGCCTACACTGAAGCTGCCCATGCCGAGCCCCCAGAGAGCGTTCACCCTCCAGGTGAGCCGGCCCCCTGCCTCTCTCTCTCCCCAGCCCCACTCCTTCCCCAACCCCCAGTGTAAACCCTGAACTGTCAAAAACAGGGCTGTTTCCCAGCGGCTCTCCACCATCCTCTGAGGGAAGTTGTAGTTGATCATGGCAACCACCAGTCTTAGTAGCAAGATTACTAGTGTGTTCTCCAGGAGCCCCTTCAGCCCCTACACTCCCCCAGCCCCCCCCCACACTTCTTTCTCTGTGGCTTTGCCCTCAAAGTCCCTGCTGCCATCTTCTGGATGGCCAGCTCCTTCCAGAATTGTCTCAGGAGTCCCTTCTGGAAGCCTCCTTCATTCCATACTTGGTCCCAAGCAGCCTCAGACTCAGTGCCCATGGGACTGTGTGGTAATGGTCTCCCTCCCAACCAGCCCACTGGCCCTGTTCACTTTCCAGGGCCCAGCACAGAGTTTCATCAGGGCTATTTTAACCATGTGCTTGTTCAAAACACAGTTTTTTAAATATTATCATAAAAAATCCTTTATACTGCCCTGTAGTCACTCATTCTAGCACCCATGCCAGACCTTTGCACACCATCACCTCACGCCCTTTGTATAATACTTTGGTGCATGTGTCCAGCTGGCTGTGGGCCTCATTTGCAGTGTGCTCTTAGATAAGCCACCTGCCTTCTCTGCATGTTCCCTGTGAGAGGAGATGGTGGGGTAGGAAGCTCTGGAGTCTCTAGCTCTGACACCGGTTCTCTGCTCTGCTACATGGAAAGAACATTATGTTTGCTTTCCTCCATCCAGGTGAGCTCTGACCCCTCCATGTATATTGAGGTGGAGAATGAAGTGACAGCCGTTGGAGGAGTGAAGCTGAGTCGCTTGAAGTGTAACCGGGAAGGGAAGGAGTGGGAGACGGTACTCACTAGCCGGATCCTCACTGCTGCCGGTAGCTGGTAAGGGTGAGGGTCTTCACCTGGCCCAGCAGTTCATGTAAAGCAAGCACCATGTGTTGGGTTGTGTTATGTGGTGCTGATGCTGTTTGAGGGCACGTACTGCCCCCCAAGTGCCAGCTCCCATGAAGACTGCAGGTCTTGCTCTGGGCTAAGTGTGTGCAGCTACCACCTCGGTTCCTGCAACACCCACTGAAGTTGGTGTCATTATCTCCATGGTACAGCTGGGAAAACTGAGTCCTAGACGCTCACCCATGCCAATATTTTTCACCCAAGTGTTCTGATTCTTTTGTCTGGCCAGGCTCCTGAAGTCTCAGGTCCCAGCCTGAGCTCTGCCTGGCTCTAACTTGGGCTGGTTCTTTTTCTGAATCCCAAATTTTAATCCAAGGAGTCCAGATAGATTTCTGAGTGCCCCTCTAAGTTCCCAGACCAGCCATTTTGAGATTCTGCACTTTGATGGGAGACCTTAATTCAGTGTTAGTCACACGTGTCTCGGGTCTCTATCCTTTGAAGCTGTCCCTGTTTTCACCTCCACCCTAGCCTAAAAGGCTTTCTGAGCACACAGTTGGTGTCCCTTATGGAGACACGCTTCATCATTTTCACATGTCTGGCCTTTCTCGGCAGAGATCTTCTCAGGACTAGTCCAGCTAGTGTAGCCAGCAGGCTGTTGAGTGGGCGCTGTGTGGCCTCATATGACAAGTGAGGTGTGTTTTCTGGGTCACCATCAGTGGTCCTCTGAAGCACCCCATGCCGCAAGTTAGCATTAGAGTGAATTCCGAAAAAGCTTGTGCAGTCTAGTGTGGGGGAGAACATAGTCTCTAATGAGAGATCTCATTCTGTCAGCCCTACTGTCCCGCCCTCCCCCAGTCCTTCTGGCCGGCCCTCTCCCTGCCTCTCTTTCTGCTCACCCACTCAGGCTCAGGCCCAGGTAGAGGGAAGCTTTGTGCCTCAGGGCTCCTATCTCTACTACAGTACCTGATCATCTTGACACCTATCCCCTCTCTGCCTTCTCAGTGATGTGGTATGTGTGGCCTGTGAAAAGAGGATGCTGTCAGTGTTCTCCACCTGTGGTCGCCGCCTCCTCCCTCCTATCCTCCTGTCATCCCCAATCTCCACGTTGCATTGCACGGGCTCTTACGTCATGGCGCTCACTGCGGCAGCCACGTTATCTGTCTGGTAAGAGACAGGCCTGGGGTGATGGTAAGAGACAGGCCTAGGGTGAAGTTGGCTCCAGGCAGGGCAGGCTAGGGCTGTATAGGTTCCTGCAGGAACAGGGGAGGCAGTGGAGGAAGCCACCTGGCAGACATGCCCTTGGGCCCTGCTAGCATGGGGGTTTGGACACTGCTTGTGATGGCCACCACACATACGTGTGTACATGTGGGGTGGGAGCAGGTATGCAAGTGGAAGTGGGGTAGGTGCCTGCCCCTGCTACCGCTTTTATAGAAGCAAACTACATGTCAAAACACAATGTGCCAGCATCCTTGACGGAGGTTCATCAGAATGGGATCTCAGCTGCCACAGTGCGGCCATGCTTCTCCCAAAGTTGGTATGGATCATAATATAGCAGATTCATAAGCCCCACAGCTCTGCTGCCGAGCCGTCTGCTATAGCCTTGTGTGGGAAAGTAAAGTGGCTCACGGGAAGCAGAAGCCACGTGTGGCCAGAGCTCCTCTCGGATGCCAGGACAGGGTGTGCACAGAGACCAGAGGAGGGGTCAGCACCGCGGCACACGTCCAGGCGTTTACTCAGGTTGGAGAGTAAGCTGCTTCCTGTCTCCCTCCTAGGGATGTTCACAGGCAGGTGGTCGTGGTAAAAGAAGAATCTCTGCACTCCATCCTGGCAGGTAATCGCGGTAGGCTGCCCCTGGTGCCCTGATGAGGGAGGGGGACAGGACACCTCAAGTCCTAGGCTCCACTCAGCCTAGACAGAGCCAGAGCCAGTCTCTTGGCTCAGCCCAAGGCACTCAGAGTGACAAGGGGTCACAGTTATTTTTCAGGAGATGCACCCTCTCTGGGCACATTTCAGTGGCTCCCTGTGTGATGACAAAGAACCTGTGGGTGGTGGTGAAAACAGCACTCACAGGGAAGAGACTCCTAGTTGCTGAGCCAGCATTAGGCACTTGTTTCTGGGACTGGACGCCATGTTCAGATTCCCCTCGGTGCATGTACAAGCACTTGCTGATCAGACACACCCAGAATCCATTCTTGTGGTGTCTCTCCAGGAAGTGATATGACGGTGTCGCAGATCTTGCTTACACAGCATGGAATCCCCGTGATGAACCTGTCGGATGGAAAGGCCTACTGCTTTAATCCGTCCCTTTCTACATGGTAAGCAAGCCACCCTTCCCTGGCCCAGCCCCCGAGGAGAGTGTCCGCCTCAGCTGGTAACAGGTTACGTGGTGCTTGCTCCTCAGGCCTGCCTGGCTTGGCTTCTCCGGAGGTGGACCCTGGAGTAGAGGCCACAGGGACAGCGTGGTGTGCTCTCTGCTGGAGGAGACAGAACCCAAACGCACCTGTACAGGCCCTACTGTCCCTGTGAGAGGCTGGAGGCCCACAGCCTCTCTGCTCTCAGAGCCCGTGTGTAGGGGTGCTTTGCTTTGTCTGCATTGTTCTCTGAGGTCACTTTGTTATAGGCATTTAAAAATTTTTATGATTGAAATATACACTGAGTGGCCAGATTATTATGATCTATGAACGCCTAATAATCTGGCCACTCAGTGTACTTCTCTTGAGTATATTATTTATTTGATATCAAAGATACTATAAATTGTGCACCTGATCAGTTTCCCCCTTTGCACTGGCTGATAGAAAGCTCAGGGCAAGTAGATAGTTGATCTCCAGTAAAAGTCTAGAATACTTTTGCTACCTATTTGGGATACATATACACTGAGGGGCCAGATTATTATGCGTTCAGAGATCATATATACATAAGATCGGTGTAATTTTTTCAGCCTGGCTTCCTTAGCCATCATCAGCATCGGCGGGTGAGTCAGCTTCACAATACCTTCGCCAGCACATAGCGGTTTTTGAAGTCTAGTAGCAGTTTCGACGTTGTAAATTAGTACGGTTGCACCGTCAGCACATGTGATGTTCTGTACCTTTCCTCCACCCATTTGGAATTGGGAGCCCATTTTTATATTTGTAAAATCATTTTCTACATCACAGATCTCAACCCAACATGTAAACTGTGTGCATTGTATACCAGCCACTCAGAAATTCTTCTGCCTGCACTTTTTGGCCCCTCAGACCCAAGTTCTTCTGGTACTTTGCGGTTCAGAGTTGCCAGGCACAAATTTATCCCATACTGTAATTTCTTTCCTGAGTTAAAACATAAAAATTAAAAATAAAATAAACCTCCCTGCTGCCTGCTCTTCCATATTGCAAGATATTGTGTATTACATGAGATTACTGTTATAATGGAAACAAACCAGGTATTTAGAAGCAAAATGTTGACCCTTTGTATTTTGGGCATGTTTACAAAGGCACCTGGCTGTTTTTAAAGTGCGTAAAGAAAGTTTTCCCAGAGATGTGAAGGGTGTGAGGGTACAGAGCTGACTGCCTCGCATGCTGTGGAAGCACACGAAGGCTGGATGCTGGCATTCCTCAAAGCTTCGAAGGGCTGGACACTTCACACATAGACCTCCTGGCCCCAGGAGCCTTGTCAGCGACCTTCACTGTCTTTAATGTTCCCTTGTAATGAAAGCTGTCTGTGAGAGGCCTGGGTGACCCTCGGCCTTCGCTGGTGTTCTGGTAACAGGTCATGTGGTGCTTGATCCTCGGCAGCCTCACTGCCAGCCTACCCTTCTGGTTTTTCTGAGCTCAGCTCCTGCCTTTGCCTCCCCAGGAACCTGGTTTCTGACAAGCAAGACTCCCTGGCCCAGTGTGCGGACTTCAGGAGCAGCCTGCCTCCCCAGGACGCCATGCTGTGCTCGGGACCCTTAGCCATAGTCCAAGGCCGTGCCTCCACGTAGGTGACCGAGTGCCAGGAGAGGTGACTGGGTTGTGCAAGTACAGTCCCACCCAGGCCAGTTCTCTGATTGCTGTCCCCTGTGCTCAGCACAGGCAGACTGGGCGCCAAGAGTTTGGGGTCCACATTAGATGATTTCTCAGGGTGCTGGATGCAAACCCTGTTATTTCAGGGCCCAGATGCAGTTTGATGTGCCACGGGTCATGTGTTTTGGTTGGGATCTGTCATCTCTGGGGTCTAAATGGGAGGTACAGAGTGGGGTACTCCTGGGGTGCCAGAGCATCTAGGAAGTCTGCAGCTGGGACGTGGGGATGGGTGGGCCAGTGTGGAGACTGACATCTGCCCCCTGCTAGCTTCTTGCTGGTGCCTTGGGGTGCATGATGGCAGCCTCCTGTCCACACAGTACACACTGCCTCATGACGTGTTTCTGCAGTTCAGGGAGGCAGGCGGCCCGCCTTTTCTCCGTGCCTCACGTGGTGCAGCAGGAGACTACCTTGGCCTACCTAGAAAACCAGGTGGCAGCAGCACTCATCCTGCAGTCCAGCCACGAGTATCGCCACTGGCTCCTCCTCTACGCGCGGTACCTTGTGAACGAAGGTGAGGTCCCTGGTGGTTCCTCCATTCTCCTGGGCCCAGCTCAATCCCTGCCCCAACACAACCCTTCTAAAAGCCTGTGTGTTAGGCCAGAGTTACAGTGGCCTAGGGCTCCCTACATTCTTTTCTCTCAGTCTGCCATGGTCACCCAAGAGGCCCTAGCCTCCAGTTCCCTGTCAACATGATGGACCCTCGGCCTCCCCACCCCCATCTCCTAGCTTGAGCTATGATCAGGCCGGCTCAGCAGGCATCCAGCCCATTACAGGCTCCCAGCCCCTGAATGGAGTGTTCCTGAGGGCCAGCAAGATTGGCAGCAGGAGAGGGTGAGGGCAGAGGATATGTAGAAAGACATGCAAATGTGATGCTCAGACTTCTGTTCTTCCCTCAATCCCTTGGCACATCAGTGGTCAGTGACCCCAGGGTGGGTGTCTTGTAGCATCCAATGTGCTTGCGCTCCTCTTCCTTTTCTGAGCCCCCACATGTGGAAGGGCTGTCCTGCTGTCCGGCACCTCCCTTTGTCCCTCCGGCCTAGCTTTCCCTGCCAGGGCTCTCAACACCTGCATCTCCTTCCCAGCATATGCTACCCACACTTGCCCTATTGTTCAGCAGAAAGCCAGGTGTGTTACAGGAAGTGACTATCCTGTTCTTAGGGTGACCGCCCAAAGCCTCTCATCCTCTCTGCTGGGCAAGCATGGAGTCTGCCTACCAGTCTTCCTTCTGCTTGAATATGGCCTCCAGAGATATGGCCTGGGAACTGGCCCTCCCTAAGTTCTCCCTGTGTCACCATGCAGGTTACTGAGTAGCCTCCCCCACAGCCTCTCCTGGCCTTGCTTTGCTTTTGACATCACCCTCTCCATTTTGTTTATGATTTAGAGGTTAAAGTGAAATATAGAAAAGACCGGATAAATAAGGTCAAACTCCTACAAATGTTACTCCCAGAACTTGTATGTTATGTTTCCTCTAATGCAACTACATGTTCTATAAACTTGCAATCCTATATAATAAAAGGGTAATATGCAAACTGACAAAACAACAGAATGACCGGTCACTATGATGTGCACTGACCACCAGGGGGCAGATGCTCAATGCAGGAGCTGCCCCCTGGTGATCAGGGTATTCCCACAAGCTGGCTGATGGCTGGCTAGTGAGTACAGCGGCAGTGGTTGGAACCTCTCCTAATCCCATGACAGCGCTAAGAATGTCAGTCGGACATCCCCTGAGGGTCCCCAGACTGCTAAAAGGCACAGGCCGGGCTGAAGGACACCCCCACTCTGAGTGCACGAATGTCATGCACCAGGTCTCTAGTGTGTGTATATATATATGTATTTATGTATGTACATACACACACACACATACACACACACACACCTCTGAGGACAAGCATGACTGACCAACTCGAAGCCCCTCTCCCTTACCCAGCAGACTCCGGTAATGAGTTTGATCTTTACTCTCCAATCTGTGTGGTCACCCAGCACGTGTGGTCACTGGCATTTCTAAATATTCAGTCTTTGCAAGCCCCTCCCCCCTTTTCTGGGGTGCTCCTCACACCCATTCTGCTGAGGAAATGCCTCCTCTGGCTCCTCCTGTTTCCTTCATCCTGGCTGTTGATCAGGACTCACCCTGATGCCCTGAATAAAGCCACTGCCTCCTCTGGGGTCTGCACCCATTTGTGAAATCACTTCTGCCGCTTGCTCCTCTTCATCTTTCACGTGTCTGTTCCAGTGTCCTACATAAGCCACCTCCTCTCTTTATCCCTTGCTTCCTAACTGTAAAAGGAGAACTCAAGTTTTAACAGGAGACCCTTTTCCCTAAAATACCTCCGATTCCAGCTTCATCCTCTTATTTCCACTCTCATCTTTGGGTGATTTCATCCATTTCCTGTGGCTTTAGCTGCCCCCGGTGCCTACAGACTCCAGACCTGCCTCTTCCATTTCTGGCATGCCAATGGCTGTGCCCATAACCCTTGACTTGATAGGCCCATGCCTGCTTCTCCTATCTCTGCTTAGTCACCACCTCCTCAATCTCAACTCATCCCCTCGCCATCTCTTACCTCCAGACCCTGCTGATCTCCTCACACTGGCTGCCAAGATGTCTTCTCTCAATCAGATCTAACTAACCCTCTCCCCTCTTTCTACCATTTCCCATAACCTTGGGGGTTTCATCCCAAAACTGGCCACATCTCATTTTTTCTCATTGGCCCAGCACACAGAGGGGCCGCTGCATGCATTGTCAAGGGAGTAGGTGAGTGAGTGAGAATCTGTCATTATGAGTCTCAGTGCCCCAAACTGAGAGGCGTGCAGGAGGCATTCTGCCCATCGTAGGCAACTCAATAAGCCTTTGTTCAGTCTGTTTTGATATACTCAACAACTTAGCATATTCTTGATTTTTTATTTCTTTTTGTAATGTGTTCCTATTTCTGTTTTGTTTTGTTTTTTGTTCTTTTCTTTTTTCCCCCTGTAATTAGGGTTTGAATACCGACTCCGAGAAATATGCAAGGACTTACTGGGTCCGGTTCACTACTCCACTGGAAGCCAGTGGGAGTCAACGGTAGTGGTAGGTGCTTCTTTCATTCTTGCCACAAGAACTCTCCTGAAAAGTGAAGGTGGAAATTTAAAAAGTAAGCTTAAGTGCTTTGAAATTCTTCCTTATTAGATGTCTAGCACAATGCCTTGGGTCCCAGCGTCAGTGAGCAGGTGAGATGCCTGCACTGCACAATCTAGCAAGAGCTGGGCCCTCAGCATGAGGCCTCGGACGGGATTCAGCCATGCCCTTGTGCTGGGGAAAGCCGCCTGCACAGGGCTGTGGCTTTGTTCAGTAATGAAGGCAAAAGATCCTTCCTGCCCTCATGGAGATTGCAGTCTGGTAGGGCGGCAGATATAAGCCAGTGAGCAATTTAGTCAACAAGATAGCTTTAGACCATGGATTATGCTTAGAAGGAAATAGCAGATCAGTAAGACAAGCATGCCTGGGAAAGAGTGACCGGGGAAGACCTCAGAAGAGGACTTTGAGGATGAGCCAGCTCTGCAGAGCCCTGGGGAGAATTTCCTGGTGGAGGTGGTAGTGCATGCAAAGAGGGCTTGGTGCATCCAGGCCACTGTGACTAGGACATACTAGGCAGAAGAGAGGGTGACATGAGATTAGGCAAAAGAGGTGAGCAGGAAGCAAATCATGGAAAGCTTATAAAGTTCCAGAATTTCAGTCTAGGCAGTGGAAGTTATTGAAGGATTTTACACAGATGTGATACAAATTGACATAGAAGACCAGTCAGCAGAGGTAATATGACCTGAAATAGATCAATCAACAGAGATGTTGTGACCTGATATAAGATCAGACAGCAAAGGTGATGTGAACTAACATAGAAAACTGGTCAGGTCAGATAGCGTAGCTCAGTGGTTAAGCATTGACCTATGAACCAAGAGGTCACAGTTCACACATGCCCGGGTTGTAGGCTTCATCCCCAATGTGGGGATGTGCAGGAGGCAGCCAATCAGTGGTTCTCTCATCATTGATGTTTCTTTCTCTGTCTGTCTCCCTCTCCCTCTCTCTCTTTCTCTCCCTCTCCTTCTCTCCCTTTCCCTCCCCCTCTCTCTTCCTCTCTCTCTCCCTCTCTCTCCTTCTCTTCCTTTCTCTCCCTCTCTCCTTCTCTCTCCCCTTCTTCTCTGAAATCAATAATATGTGTTTTTTTTTAAAAAAAGAAAAGAAAACTGGTCAGGTCTTGTTGGGTTTTTTCCCAAAAGTTCCGGCAATAGATGCAGGTGACTTGGATCAATGTGATGGCTATCAAGAGGGGGAAGAAACAGATTCAGTATGTATTTTGGAGACAGAACAAAAAAAGACTTGGTGTTTTGGGTGGTTGGATATGGAGTAGGTGATGAAAAGAGAATAATGAACGCGTGGTCAGCTCACAGTTCTTTTGGCTAGAGTACTGATTGAATTGGAAAAGGAGCAGGTTGGTGAGGAATGGGAGAAGTTGTGGGTCCGAGATTTACCTTCACTGAGCAAAAACTGATGGAGCACCTTCTCTGGCCAGGCCTAGTCTGGGCACAGGGCAGGCAACAGTGACTAAGGCTGACCAGGGCCCCTCGGATTTTCATTCTTGTGGAGAGAGGCAGATTCAAAACAAGTGAACAAGTACATATAAAGTGTTGCGTGGGGATGGGTGCCATGGAAAAAATATATATAGGAAAGGAGGTAGGAAATACTGGCAGGATGCGATTTTATATTGGGTGATCAAGGAAGACCTAATTGATTGAGCAGAGACCAGAAAAGGTGAGAGATGAAGCCCCACAGATATTTGGAGAAAGAATATCCAGGCAGAGGGAACAGCAAGTATAAAGGCCCTGAGGTTGGGGTTGGGCATCTTGCAGCATAAAAGGAATAGCTGAGCAGAATGGCAGCTGGAGAGTCAGTCTTAACAAGGTTCTCAAGACGTTGGTGTATACTTGGCTTCCTCTACTTTTTATTCCCTTTTTTTTAAAAAAATATTTTTTTATTGATTTCAGAGAGGAGAAGGAGAGATAAAAACCAATAATGAGAAAGAACCATCAATCGGCTGCCTCCTGCATGTCCCCCACTGGAGATGGAGCCCACAACCCGGGCATGTGCCCTTGATTGGATTTGAACCTGGGACCTTTCGGTCCATAGGCCAACACTCTACTCACTGAGCCAAACCAGCTAGGGCTCCCTTTTTATTTTGTTACAATAGATCTTAATTTGGTTGGCTAATAAAATCTTAGAGCTTTGAATGTATTATGCTATGCCACAGACTTTTAGTATCCACTGTTGTTGCTAAAAACTACTAGGAATCTCATTTCCATTGTTTTGTAAATTCTTTTGGGATTGACCCTTTCTTGGTATTTTGAAGTTTCACAAAGCTCTAAGTCTATGTCTTTCATTCATTCTGTGTATTTTCCTAGGTTCTCTTTGATTATATTCCATTTTCCCCATCATGAGAAATATAATATCCTCTTTTTGGAATGTTATATTATTTTTATAATTTCAGTTCTCCCCATATTTTCAATTTAATCTTATTACCGAAACCGGTTTGGCTCAGTGGATGTAGCGTCGGCCTGCAGACTGGAAGGTCCCAGTTTCGATTCCGGTCAAGGGCATGTACCTTGGTTGCGGGCACATACCCATTGGGGTTGTAGGAGGCAGCTGATCAATGTTTCTCTCTCATCAGTGTTTCTAACTTTCTCTTCCTCTCTGTAAGAAAATCAATGAAATATATATTTTTTTTTAAATTTAGTCTTATCTACTTGAGCATAGTTCTACTTTGAGGAGCCCTTATAGATCTGTTTCTATTTCCTATAAATATTTCTGATAGTTCTCATTTATATTGTCTTATTATCTCTTTAAGTGCCTGGTTGGTTTTGACTGTCTGATAGACATGGTATTTGAATAATTACTTATAAAAATGTTTTGAAGCCTCAGTAATGTTACCTTCTTCAACAGAGCACTGTTGTTTGCTGCTACCAGCTTTTGTCCTAGCCCTTCAAGGCTCTCTCAACCAATTCAGGGATTGAAGTCTTCTGGGCTAGCTGGGGACTCAAAGCTGGATAATAACTAGTGCATGGGCTGGTTTACTACCAGCCAACTCTTCTAGAGTGCATTTCGTTGGAGACTAGCACAAAGGAAAGGGACCCTACTTTTCATGAATGCTATCCCCCTGTTTTGGTCCCCCTAAACCCTCAAATCTAGTAGACGCTCTGCTCAGCCTCTTCCTCATCAATACGTGGTCCCAAGCCCTAGCCAGTTTGGCTCAGTGGATAGAATGTTGGTCTGCCGACTGAAGAGTCCCAAGTTTGATTCCCGGTCAAGGCACATGCCTGGGTTGTGGGCTCCATCTCCAATGTGGGGCATGCAGAAGGCAGCCAATCAATGATTCCCTCTCATCATTGATGTTCCTCTATCTCTCTCTCCCTTCCTCTCTGAAATCAAGAAAAATAAAATAATAATTGTTCCCAAGGCAAAGGCGTTTTTCTCTGGATTTCTATCTTCTCCACACTCCCGCTCAGTCCTTCTCGCTAGCACTTGAGCTCTCTGAGGTCTGTTTCTCTTTGTCCAGCTTTGTCCCCTTTCTCAGTGGAAAGGGCTTTTCTGAATTCCTCGTAAGAACAGCTCACCTCTAGGCAGCCTGATGGGCCATCTGTTGAGGTGGGACACAGGTAGGCCAGTACCCAACCAACCACTCCTGTAGAGCTTCACTCTACGTAACAGTTCTCTGTCTCAGCCTGAAGGTAAGCATTCTAGGCTAGTGTGGTGCAGGCAGAAGGGAGCACAGACAGGCCACTAATTCATGGCCATGCACTCGCCCTGCTCCTCCTCCCTGCTGGTTGTTTTTGCTCTCTCTAAGTAGGACACCTTATTAGGGATTTGCCCAGGAGAGTCTGTGGCTTCCTTCCTAGGAAGCACTTGTCAGTGTGGTCCCACTTGCTTTTCCTGTAAACTGCTTAAAATAGCTGGTCTGCTCATAGTGTGTGAGCAAATTCATGACAAAATTTCTAGAACTTGCTTTGTAGGAATTCTTATGTATTAGAGAAATGACTCTTTGTGATATGAGCTGCTACTATGTCTCCAAAGATCCAGGCTTCTTTCCCTCAAGATCATGACTCAGTGTGCATAGGAGGGAGGTGGAAACAGAGGGCTGAGGCACTCGGCAGCCATTCTTCAGGTCCCTGAGCTCTGTGCTCAGCACTGTCTCTTCAGCCAGGAAGCTTTATTGTCCGGTCTGTGTCATTGGCCAGAGAGGGTGATGAGCTGTTTCCAGGCTGCTGCCTGGAACAGGGAGGAACATCACCTACTACTGAGCCCGGGCAGGAGATGGTACTTATAGCTGTTGGTATTGAAATAGCCTTCAGGCCAGAAGGTAGATCCTCTTGTAGCTAGTCCCTGGTGCCATAGACCAGCTGAAATTTTTACTTTGCTAATAGCATTTTGCTTTATACCCTTTCGTGTTTTTTGTTGTTGTTTTTAAGAGTTTTTCGTTAAAAAAAAAAAAAAGTGTTTTGTTTTTGTGGGTTTTTTTTAATTTCTTGGTAAATTTTTTTTTATTGATTTCAGAGAAGAAGAGATAGAAACATTGATGATGAGAGAGAATCGTCAATCAGCTGCCTCCTGAACACCCCACTCTGGTGATCGAGCCCTCAACCCAGACATGTGCCATGACCAGGAATTGAACCTTGACTTCCTGGTTCATAGGTTGAAGCTCAACCACAAAATCATACCAGTCGAGCCCATACTTTTTTATTAGAGACCAGAGAATAAAATTTCAGGCTTTGCAAATCAATATGATAGCTTACAACTATGAACCCTGCCATTGTAACCTAATATGTAAACAAATAGGTAGGTATGTCTGCATTTTGATAAAATTATCCACTAAATAGGTAGGATGGATTTGGCCCAATCCAACTCACAATCTACATGAGACTGTTATTTTGTTGAGGTTTGCTTTTAGAGCAATTGTTCATATTTCTGTGTATGCAAAGAAGAATTGTGTTCTCTAGTTCTGGTGCCTTAATGACCTAATGGTCATGTTTACTAAATGTTCGGTTTGAACTACCTGAATCTGCGGGTTTTTGCCTTTCTGGACACATCCTAATGGAATGTGTATTAAAAGCTCCCTGTAAGCTTGGTTTTGTCCCTCTCTCCTGACTTTCTCTTTCTCCAATTATTTTTTTGTTTCAAAGTCTATGTACTTTGATGATTGTGAAACACACGCTTTTTTTTATTTACTAACATAATCTTTCTCCATCTTTAACTTTTAACATTTCTGTATCCATGTTTATGTGTTTTTTGCCAACATCACATGTCTGGTTTCTGTTTAATCTGACAGACTAAGGTGTTTGTTTGTTTTTTTATCACAAATTAAAATCATTTACATTTGTTGTTTACTTTTTTAAAGACCAACATAAACTTCAGCAAGAGGTTGATCACATTACTTTTCATACCTCTTTTAGCATCATCTCTATTTCTTCTTATTTTTGAGTACTTTCTAGAACATTTTCAGCGTGGATCTTTATTGTGGTAAACATTCTGAGATCTTACAAGCCTAAGAATATTTTTTTATTACATCTTCTTATGTGAATAACAGGTTGGCTGGATGAAAAAATAGATTATGAGTTTTTCCCCAGTATATTTAAAATACTACTTTAGCCAAAACCGGTTTGGCTCAGTGGTAGAGCGTCGGTCTGTGGACTGAAAGGTCCCGGGTTCGATTCCGGTCAGGGGCATGTACGTTGGTTGTGGGCACATCCCCGGTGGGGGGTGTGCAAGAGGCAGCTGGTGGATGTGTCTCTCTCAACATTTCTTACTCTCTATCCCTCTCCCTTCCTCTCTGAAAAAATCAATTAAAAAAAAAAAAACTATTGTGCCTCTTGGTATCTCTTCCTTTATAGGTGATATGCTCTTGTTTTTTAGAACTTTTCAGAATTTTTTTGTGTTTTATATCAACAGATTCTGTATATTTCATTCTAATATATCTAAAATACCTTTTTTTTTTTTTTCATATCTTCATCAGCACTTAATGGAGCCTTTCAACCTAAGGCAGTTCCTTTTTCTTTAATTGTGTGAAACTATCCATGTTATTTCTTCAAATATTTCCTTCTCTCTTTTGTGTCTCATGTAGATGTTGGGCCCATTTCCATACTTCATCTGCCCTTACTTTATCTTCCAGTCTCTTCCCTTACAGTTTCCCCTCTGCATGCCGCCCTGCTCAAGCACTGGCTGCTCCTCCATCTGCCCCATCTGACTCGGTCTTCAGCAGGGTCCATTCTCCTGCTAATTCCATCTTCTTTAACCACTGTATTGCTCAAACTTGACACCTACACTTTGTTCTTTTCTGTAATTCCTTGTGCTGTTACCATGCTGATTTAACATTTGGACCTTCTCTTCCACCGGTCAGTATTGTTGGTTAGTGGTTTTCCCTTTGCAGTGGAGACCCTGCCTGGCAGTGCAAGTTGCAAAGGGGTCCAGGCAAAACTTGGAGCCAGTGCACCCAGGCATGGAGGACGTGGGCAAGAGCCAAGGGCACACTCCCCCCAGGACTGTAAAACTCCCAGGTGCCACTGCACCTCTGGGCTTCACCTCAGACCCCTGGAGAGCATTGCACGAGGGAGCAGCCCCCTCAGGTGGCCATCTACCTATCCCTCTACCCTGATATTCTACTTTCATCCTACTCTGGAAGGCCAAGCTACTGTGGTCACTGAACGGTGTAGCTGAAGGCTAGTGGTGACTGTTCCAGCAGACTTAGGGGGCACAGACCTACCCTGGTTTTCTCTGCAATATCTTTGAATTTGTGTCCTTCCCCTGCACCCTGCCACCCATCCCACACACCCCTGGTGAGCCTTTCAGCTCTCCCAGGGCCTCTTAGCATGCAGAGAACTTTTCTCATCCATCTCTGGTTTCTCCAAGGGGTGCCTAGGAGTCAGATGGGCAGACACAAGGGTCTCTGTTAGGCCGGGAAATCACCCACAGTCTAGGTCTCCTCTCTGACACTTGTACTGAGCCGTCATTTCTGTGCCCACAGGGTCTACGGAAGAGGGAGCTACTGAAGGAACTGCTGCCAGTCATCGGGCAGAACCTCCGCTTCCAGCGTCTCTTCACCGAATGCCAGGAACAGCTCGACATCCTAAGGGACAAGTAGCCTGCCCACATCTGCCCCAACTACAGCCCGGGCAGGGCCACCTCTCAGCTTGTCGGGCTGCAGTAGGACAAGGAGACACTGGCAGGAGGTGGGCTGTCCTGCACCGGCACCAGCCCAGGACCCTGGGTAGACTTCCCCTGTGTCCTGGGTCTGTTGCTGCTCCCATGGAAGGGGGCAGCTCTGCTGGCAACTCGTCCCTCTCTCCAGGACCCCCACGCGGAGCAGGGGCTGGGGCTCTGCCCTGCTGCCCTGGGATCGGCGAGGCACGCCCCGTCCGACCGTCCGCAGCACGGTCCAGAGGTGGACACTAGCCCTGCCCCTGCAGGTGCCGTGCTGCTTCAGCTATGACGAATGAGCCATTTGTGAAGAGAGAGCCCTGAAACGTATTAGTGTATTATGCAGTCAGTAGACTGACCTATGTAAAAGGAAAGACTATTCCAACACAAAGACTATTTTTGTACTAGAATTTGCTAACTTGTAATACAGAATTTTCCTTTTGGCCAATAATCAGGATTTCCCTATAAGTCACTTGGACAATGGTTACTTGTAGGAAAAAATTTAAACTCTAATTATGACAGCTACATTGAAAAATAATTGTACTGAAATTAACTTGTCTATCTTCATTTGGTTTTAATTTTTAAATGTTTGTAAAAAGAGACTGTTTGGGGGGGATAGGGCAGAGGGTGGGTGATTTCTTTTGTAAGTGTAAAATAAATGAACACACATTGGATACCAAACCATCCTGATTCCCCCTGCCTCTCCTTCAACTTCCACCTTTCTCCTACAACTGTGGATCCCTCCTGAATTGGAGAATGACGACATCATAGCCAGACGGGATCTTCGGTGTCATCTGAAGATCCCTTCGGTGTCACCCCTACTCCCACCCAGCCTCTCCTTGTAGAAATTCATTTCTCAAGGGGAGGTCACTTCCCTGGTCATGCAGCGTCTTAGGCAGAGCTGGGGCTAACCACCTCGCTTGGTTCTGGCCGAGCAGTGCCCCAGGTCCCTGATCATGCTGGACACCAAGATTGTGGCCGACTTGCTGATTTCATGGAAGGATATCAGTAAGTAGACTCACGTTTCTAAAGTATTATCTGGAGAGTTTCTTGGTGGTCTAAGATGCTGACCCACAGGAAAGGAGATAGCTAGAATCACAGAACCTTCAAGTATGGAGAGGGCTGAGCACCTTCACCCCTGGCTCATGGGCCTCGTTGTCACCTTCCTGCCAGCTGTGTGTGATCCTGAATCCGAGGAGGAGGCCGGACTTGGGATCAGAAAGCCTCGGTGACTGGCCGCTGGCACCTCTCTGACAGCTTCCCTGCCTAGAGGCCTTCTCACTGCCTGTCTCACTCATAGTCTGGTGGCCGGATGAGACCCCGGCACCTATGCATGCCTGACATGGCCAGCACACAGGCAGAGTGGGCAGAGACCTCAAAAGCCAGGCTGCAAAGTGTGAACTTTTCTTTAAGGAGTAAGGAACCAAAGGTGCTCTGTGGTCAGGCACCTCCCTCAACAACTCCGCATTGAGACGTTGAGAACTTCGGGCTGACGAATTACACCCATGGCTGAAGATCTGACAGGCCTGTCGGGGGTCTGGACCAGCAAAAATCTGGGCCTTGCTTTTCAGCTGTCAAATGGAGCTGAGGTTAAGAAAACGGTTGTGAGCCGAGACCGGTTTGGCTCAATGGATAGAGCGTCGGCTTGGGGACTGAAGGGTCCCGGGTTCGATTCCGGTCAAGGGCATGTACCTTGGTTGCGGGCATATCCCCAGTAGGGGGTGTGCAAGAGGCAGCTGATCGATGACTCTCTCTCATCGATGTTTCTAGCTCTCTATCTCTCTCCCTTCCTCTCTGTACAAAATCAATAAAATATATTTTAAAAAAAAAAATAAAAAAAAAAATAAAAAAAAAAAAAGAAAACGGTTGTGAGAACCAACTGGGATCATGTAGGCAATATCCCGGCACTTGGCCATGCTCTTTTGAAGAAAATTTGGGCAGTCCGTGTTTTTGCTACACTACTATTTGGACAGGAAGACAAAGTTGGAGACTTCTGCTTTCAGCCAAGATGAGTAAGGAGCCCAGTTGACCTTCCCATCTGAAACCACCAAAGGAACAAAATACATGGGACAAATTGCATGGAACAATGGTCTTAAGACACTGGTTATCAGAAAACAAAGGACAGTGATGCCTGGGCGATGGAAAACAAACAAGAGGAGCCCTACGACTGCAAAAATCGACACTATTGTTAGGTGATGGGCCTACACGGATAAGAGCGACCTGCAGAGGAACTACAGGGAAAACCATTTTAATTTGAAAGTGAACAGTCTATTCTCTTTAACATTTTTGGCCACTAGACTGTAAAGCTATTGTGCAAATACTCACATCATCGCTGTGTATATTCGTGGTAGAAAATAACCAGTGGGCAGCCTGAAACAGTTACTCCCTTTCCCTGACAAACACCTTGTATGCACCTGGCCCACCTGCATTCCAAACGCATGTTCAAGTGTCCCTCTGAAAACACCTGGTCGCTGGGCAAAGGTGTGGCTCCTAGCTATGGACCTGCGACTGCTATGTATTCTTGTGCAGCCACAAGCAAGCCAGGTGACTCAGTTGGCCATCTGCCGCTGATGCGATCTTTGCAGACTTTTCACACTGATATTCCGTCACAGTGTTCTCTAGAAATCCTATCAGCCATGAAGGTTGTTTCCCAAAGGAGCAGGTGCTGAGCCTGGGGCAGGAACACTTCGGTCACTCTCACACTTGGAATCCTCCTTTTAGTTTGGGACATATATTTGACTGAATTTTAGAAATTGTCTGTGAACCCACCGGCCGGTGTGGTTCAGTGGTTGAGCATCGACCTGGAAACCAGGAGATCACGGTTAGATTCAGGTCGAGGCACATGCCGGGTTGTGGGCTTGATCTCCAGTGTGCAGCATTCAGGAAGCAGCCAGGCAGCCCAACGATGACTCTCTTTTTTAAAATATATTTTTATTGATTTGGGAGAAGGAGGAAAAGAGAAACATCATGTTTAGAGAGAATCACTGATAGACTTCCTCCTCCACACCCCCTACTGGGTATCCAACCTGCAACCTGGGCATGTGCCCTTGACCAGAATCGAACCTTGGACCTTCCAGTCTGCAGGCCAACGCTCTTATCCACTGAACCAAACCGGCTAGGGCGGCTCTCTATTGATTATCTCCCTCTCCCTTTCTCTCTGAAATCAAAGTATATTATTTTTTTTTAAAGTGTCCTTTGCCAAAATTGGTTTGGCTCAGTGGATAGAGCGTTGGCCTGTGGACTGAAAGGTCCCAGGTTCGATTCCAGTCAAGGGCATGTGCATTGGTTGCAGGCACATCCACGGTGGAGGGTGTGCAGGAGGTGCCTAGTCGATGTATCTCTCTCATCGATGTTTCTAGCTCTCTATCCCTCTTCCTTCCTCTCTGAAAAATCAATAAAATATATTTTTAAAAATAAATAAAAAATAAAAAGTGTCCCTGGCCCTGACCGGTTTTGCTCAGTGGATGGAGCATCGGCCTGTGGACTCAAGGGTTCCCGGTTTGATTCCAGTCAAGGGCATGTATCTTGGTTGCGGCACATTCCATGGGGAGTTGTGCAGGAGGCAGCTGATCGATGTTTCTCTCTCATCGATGTTTCTAACTCTCTCTCCCACTCTCTTCCTCTCTGTAAAAAAATCAATAAAATATATATTTTTAAAAATAAAAAATGAAAAGCGTCCCTGAACCCAACTGTCCAGACGTTGAGGTAGAATTTCTTTTTTTTTCTTTTTTTTTCTTTTTTTTTTAAATATTTTATTGATCTTTTACAGAGAGGAAGGGAGAGGGATAGAAAGTCAGAAACATCGATGAGAGAGAAACATTGATCAGCTGCCTCTTGCACATCCCCTACCCGGGGATGTACCCACAACCAAGGTACATGCCCCTTTCAGGAATCGAACCCGGGTCCCTTGAATCCGCAGGCCAACGCTCTATCCACTGAGCCAAACCGGTTTCGGCGACGTAGAATTTCTATAGAGATGCAAGGCTCTGGGCAAAGGCAGCCGGTGACTCAGTTTACCTCTCCTGAAAACCCCGTCCCTCACAGAACTTGCTGAGGGCAGCCCACCAGAGCCTGGCGTCCACGCTCCCCCGCAGCCAGAGCACGGCATGGACTCGCCTAGGCCCAGGGTCCGGGAAGGGCGACTGCCGCGAACCCTCAGGCGGAGGACGAAGGGGTTCCGCTACCGCCGGCGGAGGGGGCGTGCGTGGCGCCCCGAGTCAGTGCGCCTGCGCCGCCACCCCCGCGCGCGCGCGCGTGCGTACACGCCCCCTCCCCGCCGGTCGGCGCGTCCGCCCGTCCGCGGGGCCGCTCGCGCGACAGGGGCCGTCGCCGCCGCAGCCCCGCGCCCGCCCTCCCGCAGGCCCTCCCCTTCGCTTCCGGGAGCGCTTCCAGGTGAGAACCGGGGTTCTGCGGGGACCCGGCGGGCTCCAGGCAGGTCGCGCCCCCCACCCTCACCCCACCCCGTCTCCCTGAAGACCTGGGGGCGCCGCCACCCCCCCCCCCCGCCCCGCTCGATCTGATCCGGATGGAGCCGGCGCCGACTCCGGTGGGACGAGCCGGCCCGGGACGCGGCCCCCCAGGTGTTCTGGTCGCGGGAACGGTGGTCTCCCCGCGACGGTGCGCGGGGACCGGGGCGTCCGGGCGGCCGCTCCCGAGGCTCCAGGGTTGGGACCCGAGAACCGCTGGAGTCAGTGCCCAGACCACGATTGGCAGCCCTTTCCATCGCTTGGCGCACACAGATTAATTACTAAAGTTCGGCGGCACCTCGGATTTGGCCGGACAGTCCCGATTTTTAACAATTTGTCCCGCGACCCGCGGCGTTTTTTAAAAAAAAATCGGGACTTTTTTTTTTTTTAACGCCGCGGGACGAATTGTTAGAAATCGGGACATCTGGTCACCTTGATATGAAGGGTCCCAGATTCGATTCCGGTCAAGGGCACATGC